AGAACTATAAAACTGAAGTTTCGAAGTTGTGTGATTATAATTTATGATATGATTATGAACAATGAATTTTGTTCGAAACATTGTCATCCATTAAATAATACTGTTTCACTGTGAGATATATCTAATGAACAAACTAATATGGAAGCATTAGACAACCACATTTTATTCGTGAAGAAATATATATAAGAGATTATTTCAATGATGCTTATCAAATTTCATAAACTAAGAACTGTGTCGATGATGAAAACATCAACACAGACAGTTTCCATAGTACGAGTATAAAGTCGTAGACCACTCATCTGTCCTTCCGGTATCCGATACACAGTTGCTAAAGACGTGATTTATTACCACAATGTGGCTTGTGTGATTGGAGGTTGTGATTGTTTCCATCATCCTGTCTGACATTCAGATGTTTGTCTTGCAGTATTTGCAAATTACTTGTTACGTGTTTGAGGTAACAGATCCTTTACGATATGTATCATTTTGATATGAATAACATTTGTTGCCAAGGTAGATGTTTTTGAGTGCTGCTGTTCTCCTTGAGGTGCATGATTTAATTGTAAAGCTTTCACTGCATCTTCAAGACAGTATCTTCAGCATGTATCCACAACTGTATTTATTATATACTTCAGGATCAATTCTCAGTGAATCAGCGAATCACAGCTAAATAATCACCTGGTTCGAATTCGAGTTATCAAAGTACTAATCATAATTTGTGATTGATGTGATGTGTCGCTCAGGTGTGGGAACACTCATACACCTAGAAAATGAATGAAACTCTTGCTATATGATAAAGTGAGAAAGGTTGGGTTACTGAATTCCAAGTCAAAATCTCACTAATGGTATACTTGCCTGTTATGGTGACAGTGCCAGACTTGATCTCTCTGAACCATGTGGCGTTTGTGCATATTCCTAGTTAGTCGTAAACTTCAACAAGTGATCTGTTTAGTTCTACCTAATTTTTGATGCCTCGTTACCTGTTAACTACTTTGAAAGTAGTATGATTGCCCAGATATTTTATTCTAATAAGTTATCATTCTAGCAGGATGCTTGATTGTCATTGGCTGATTTGTTTTATTTGTATGAAATGAGTTGATATTGCCTCATTTAGCCAGTTCGTTTTCTCTTATTTGGTTAAGGCGACAAAACGTTGTCTTGATTCAGTTTGCAGTTTTTCCTGTGAATGACGTGGGTGCTTGCTACGATCCAACCTAAGAGAGGTCGACTTTAACAAATCCACTTGGCATAACTTAAGAAGAGACATATTCTATTTTTATGTCCAGTTAATTTCCAACTCACTTGTGTCCTTTCATGCAGATCGAAAGAATCGGGGATCATTGGATAGACGTACTCATATCATAGTGAACTGAGTGTACACTGATTGATCGTTAAGGTGTTATATAATGATCCTTGGCTCTGACTAGAATCTATCGCTAAAGTGTAACTGTATCATGGACACTAGTTTATAATTCTCTATGCGAAACACTGATGACACGGAAGAAATCATGAACTAAGTAAAAGGCAATATCAAGGAATAATTAACTCTGAAGAAGCACATCTTCGCTAGAAGTATTCTCGAGAACCGTCAATAATCATTGTACAAATTAGGAATTCTCTTCAGCCTGTCTGTCTTCAGCAGAGGTAAAAACAAAACAGCATTTTTAAAAGTTATTGAATTTACAATAGTGAGAATAGGCAGACTAAATCTTGTGGATAGCAGTCTACAACTGAAATTCCTCTGATGAGTTATTCTACTTGCCGACACAGTTGAGATGCATAAGTGGGAAGTTCCCAAATTTTAATGGGCCACTAAACGATTGCGATGAATTAACAAGACATCACAAAGTTCTCAGGAGGTAAGTTTACTAAACAACTAATAGTGAATAATAAACTGTTGCGACGATGTAGCATATCAATGGGCCACGTTAAACTTTAAACCCCACTAACTACCAACTGAGTGCGTCCACACCAGTGACCTTGAATGGTTCAGTAAGTTTTGTTCACATGAGTTGAAGCTTCTATTCCGCTTGAATAGAGTCATATGCCTGTTGTAACAAAGTTGCGTTTGAAATTTGGTGGGGACCTAGTCTTCCATTATTACTCAGACGTGGGACTGATAAGCGAATAAAGGCTTTCTTCATGTGGACATGTGATGATTATGAAAAGCTTCGGTGGATCGGTTGATAGACACATTCATCGTTGTACAATTCATCTCAGACAAGTAAGTGTCAGGGAAGGTAAGCTGATGGTTACAGAATTTCGTAGGAATATCTTTCGCCAGGTTCTGTCTATCCTTAACCCAGATTTCGTATATTTCTAATTACTGGGTTTTGAAATACGCTATGAGAGCCACAGCCGCTCAGACGGAGAATAGTGTCGTTTCAAAGATTCAGTGGTATCAGCACTGCAGGTATATTGCAACGTAGAAAATGGAGGGACTTACTTCCTTAATGGGAAGAGAAGGTGTCATTGTACATGTAGATGAAGCTGTCTTGTTAAAGAGGAAACACAACTATGGTTGAGAACGAGCGAATAATGTTCGGATGATTGGTGTGTACGATACCTATCTACGGAAAGCTGTCGTCGAGAGAGTAGCAGATATAAAGTCAAGTACTTCAATACCGATTATCATTCGACTGGTGAAACGAGAATCTAGAATACACACAGACGAGTGGAAAGCATATAGTTAGTCGTAATCCCTGCGATATATTCGCCATAGAGTAAACCACACTAGTGATTATGCGGATCCTACTACGCAGGGACTCTCACCAATTCTATTGAAGGACTTTAGGCGAGATTGAAGAACAGGATTAGAGCCATTATTTGATCTCAAAAGAATGTTGTTTACAACCACTGAGATGAATACATGCATCGAACATGGTTTACATTCTCTACTGATACTTCTCTGGACAACTGGGAATTGTTTTTATCCCATGTGAGAGAAAGGTATCTTCAGTAACACTTTTATACAGTTTTTATGCTTTTTTTCCACAAATGTATGCATTTCATACCCAAAGTTGCCTCTCTCTCTCAGGTGATTGGAGCGTTCGAGGTCATTCGCTGATTCGTGGTTATATTGGTGCTTAAAGATTAACTTCGCCAATCAGTGATTATGTATTCTGATGTAATAATTAATGTTTGACAATATGAACTCACTACTTACCCTGTTGTCACCATATATTAAAAGACAAAGAATAAAGTGAACAAGAGTTTTATTATAGATTGACATCTTGATATTGTCATTTAACGACTGTTCACAAAAAGCGATTAATAAATTGACATTAGACGACAAAATACACATTGCATACTGAATACAAACGTCCAATGGAATGCAAGATGTAAGTCAATAGGATTAATGTAATCAGTATATATATAAATATATATATACATATATATATAGCAGGTAAATAGTAGTGCTTTATATCCAGTTGGTGCCTAATACCTAGGTGACTAATTTAACCGTCGGTCATCAAAATTAATTTATGAGTACTGGCTGGTAGGGATTTGGTTAACTGGTTACACAATTTCATCATGGGCTGATATCGGTTAGAGGAGCATTGGAAAATCTCTTTAGCTTGATGGTCTCCAAGCTCGCCTTGTAAAATGAAGGTCCTGGTTTCAAAACGCGGTTAGTGAGTACTGAGGAAGAGTCCCAAACTAGGCTGACGAAACAGCTGGCTGTCCAGTACTCTAGTGCTGGTTTTCCAAAGCTTATCTAGTTGACATCTGATCACGATAAAATCCCGCGATCATTTTGATACTGTCGGAGAGATACTTCAACTTGTTATATGACGTGCAGATCTTTATTGTCCTAGAAAATTCTACATTTCCCAATCAAATTGTGTTGTAACATGGGATGTGGATCACTGTCTTTATCTATTCCTTGAGTCGCCTCAATACTACAAGCGGCTTCAAACATCGTCAACGCCAATGCCAATATAGCATATGCTGGAAATTTCTTATTTCATCGGTGTATATACATAAAGCGGTTGGTTTTTATAAAGTTATAATTCCTTTTGGCTAGTGTCTACGCTTAACTCAAATAGATTATTTTCAAAGTGCTGATTAGTATTTGAAGTGTGGGATTATTTAATTGTAGGCTAGAATAATACACTATAATTTAGAATAACCACTAATAATCATGTGTGTTTTCATCTCAAAAAGTATGAACAATTCAGTGTTCTGCAACATATAATTTATTTTATTTCTCAAGTTAGACCACGGAATGATGTTACAGTTAGAGAAGGATTGGATAACCAGCAGGGAGTACTGAATAGATTCTTCCGCCTAGTCCGGGAAAGAAGTTGGAATTCATGGACTGGCCGCTGGGTCATATCACAGTGGCTGGCTTGGTAGTCAGAAGTCCCTGTGTTCAGACCATGGTGGTGAGTGACTACTGATGAAGTGTCCTGGACTGTCCAGTACTCCATTGCTGGTTTTCCACTGATTCTCTAACCGCTGTCAGCTCATGATGAAGTCCTGTAACCAATGAAATCTAATTCCTGCAAACTTATACTAGAATATTATTTCGTAGTGTATTAAATATTCACCGAACTTTTCAGAAAACGTCATATCTACTGTGAAGACTATTCTCCAGACGAGTGCAACAGTTGGTTCATAGAAGTAATAACGGTTACTTGAAATAGCATTCTACAATGGATCAACATTCTTGAGTTTAGAGCACTGGATATGACTAGTTTCACTGTTGCAGGAGGGTATCAGTTCTCGAGCGTTTGTCCCATTCACCGCAAAACCTAATTCAAGGGTATCCTGCCATTTGCCACTAACCATCCAGCCGTATCAAACGTTTGAATTCAACATCATGCACGATGTCATATTGGAAAATTCTACAAATTATTTATTTTTACTGCCATATTAGCACTCATTGATTTATAAGGATAATTCAGAAGTCTAGAGATGTTTTGTTCAAGTATATTTCGTGTGTTACTTTAAGATGAACATGTGAAATTTGTCTTATCAATAGAAATATTTATTCAGAGTTAATTGAACTCAGGGAATTCAATCCATTTTGGGCATTCAATAGTGTTGTCTACTTCTTCCATTGGGCAGTCAATTAATTCAAGTTGTGGAGTGAAACAAAAACGAACTTCACTCAATAGTCCAAAGTAATTCTACAAAATAATAATATTTTGAAAAGTTATAATTTTTATAGGTTTTACCAGAATTCTAATTACGTCTCCTTAAATTGGCAGAAAAATTTGTCAGGTTTTTAGTTTTGGAATCTGCCTAATGAGCAAGTGGAATAATGAGGCTAATAAAACTAAAGGGAATTACCAGCATACTGTAAACCATTTAGATAAGACATTAGGAGGATAAATACAGTGAGATAAAGTCATTTCGATAGTTTTACACCTCGAATGACTAATAATACATTCAATGAAGTTTTTCGGATGTCTACCAGCCAGTAAAACTGAATGTATGCGGCGTAGCTTCACCAGACGAGCGAACCAAAGACCAAATTGACTTCATCTCAATTCTGCTCAAGGAAGTGGAGATGCAACTTACTGGACAAAAGAGTAAGAAGAGGAACAGACGTCGGCTCAGACCACTATCTCGTACAAAGAACACTCCAAATCAAATTAATGGCTTTCAAGGAAACAGGAGCTGCAGATAGACCACAAGGCAAGTTCAATACTCAAAACCTGAAGGATCGGGCCACAAATGACTCTCTCACTGCAATCATAAGGAAAAAGGTGGAGAAACAAATCAACACTGGCGAAGTGACTAGCGTTGAAAAGTACTAAAACAACTTGAAAGCGATGTGGAATCAAACCTGCATGGAATTTCTAGGCAGAAGGAAGAGACAGGACACACAGTGGCTCACTACGGAACATAGAGACTAACAGAAGAGAGGAGGATGGTGAAACATAAGATTATCCAGTGCATCGACGAGCAACAGAAACAGGAGTTGAATACAAGCTACAATACACTGAACAAAGGAGTAAGGAAGAGTGGCAAGGAAGACAAAAGAAAATATCACGAAGCAATGACAAGTGAAGCAGAACAAGCTGCAGAGCAGGGAAAGGAGACTTCGCAACACTCTACCAAACAACTAGGTACCTATCGGTGAAGAGATCAACACAAATTAAGTCAGTGAAGGATGAAAATGGAAAGTCAATCACCAAAGTGATGGAGCAAAGCAAACACTGGCTGAACACTTCAAAAGACTTCTCAATCGACCGCCACCTACAACACGAACAATAATGCCAACAGCGGAAGCAGAACTACCAGTGGATACCAATACTCCGACGAAAGCAGAAGTCCTGAAGGCCATAAAGATGCCAAAAACTGGAAAAGCAGCAGGACTAGATGGAGTCCCAGCAGAAGCATTGAAAATGACCCAGAGATATCAGCGGACTTGATGACACCACTACTGGATAAGGTATGGAAAGAGGGCGTCGAACGAATCGCAACACTACGGATCATCATTGAACAGAGCGTGGAAAAGCATTTAGCTCACCAACTCAACTTCGTCGACTATGATAAGGCCTTCGACAGCGTCGACCGAGAAGTGATTCAGAAACTATTTCGCCACTACGGGATGCCACCAATAGTTGCACATCTCATCCGAAGGTTGTACGATAATGCTGCATACCAAGTAATCCACAATGGGAAGCTCACAGAATCCACTACCAGAGTCAGAATTCAAACGCCTACTGCTAATGTGTACCATGGATGTACAATTCCAGTTTGATAACACTCTTTACCGACAAATAGATGGCGTAGCCATGGGCAGTCCACTTAGCCCTGTTCTAGCAGATATCTTCATGTCAAACCTTGAGAAAACAAAGTTGAAGCATGCAATCGATCAAACAACTTCCTATTGTCGATATGTCGATGACACATTTGTAGTATGCAAAAACGACAGTCATGCCTCCTACCTACTCAGCCTATTCAACAAAGCACATACAAATATTGTATTTACCATGGAACATGAAAATGACGGGAAGTTCCATTTCCTTGACATCGCCATGCAACGCCTAGAAGATGGTAATCTCGAGAGGTCAATTTACCGAAAACCTACATGGAATGGACAATACTTACATTTTAATAGCTTTTGTCCAAATAGCTATAAACGAGCACTAGTCAAGACTCTGTACTATAGAGCAAGGAGAATATGCTCTACAGAGAAACTAGAGGAAGAACTTATGTTCCTCGAAAAGGTGCTGAAAAATAACGGTTACCCTCAAAGATTCATAAACAAATATGGAAGATGTGAAGACTCAAATACCAAACAAATCACAGTTGAAAAAAAGCCTGTCTTCATTCAACTAGATTTTAAAGGTGAAAACGTTGCAGAAATGGTCAACAGAAGACTGAGAACATCACTAGCCAGAGCCTATCCTGCAGCTAAGTTGGTTCCCGTCTATCGAACAACATGCTCTTTGGTGCAGTCAAAAGTCGATAGATACCCTTCTCATGTTAACTCCAACTGTGTATACAAATTTACGTGTATCTGCGGGAGCAGTTACATTGGGAGAACAGAAAGAAGGGCACACCTCCGATTTTCTGAACATGTGCCAAGAAGCCTACGTCTCAAGGGAACAAACTCTTATAGCAGCGCTATCACTAGACATCTTCTCGACACGGGTCATGAGGTAGAAATCGAGAAATCCTTTAAAATTATCAATAGACAAAGGAGTTCCATTCTCCTCAAGTTTGCCGAAGCAATCTCTATCAAACGCTTGAAACCAGATTTATGTGTTCAGAAAGAAGCAGTTATTAATCTCTCTTTGCCCTGGTAACTGAATGTCTTTATTCTCTCATCTGATTACGTAATCTTTGTCTTTAACCTCACCCCCTTTTATATTCTGTAATTTTGCTTGTCTCTTGTTTCTATGATTTGAGTTGAACTCAGTACATTGTTACCTAATTTATTAGTCACTCTGTATCTAACTCATATTTCGTCTTTATTACGTAACCCCTTTACCATTGTATGCATACATCTATTTTATTTAAACTTGAACTGCATGTGTAAAAACTATATAAGCGCAATTTTCTGAGCACTGTTCACTTACTGTGGAACTTTTTGTCAACTGGCAACATGTAAAAATTTGCAAGTATGTTAAAACTTTTCTGTACGCAAACCTCATTATGTATTTAGGCAGTAAGCAGCTGATGAGAAGCCTACGAAATAAATGATGGTACCATATTATTCTGCACAAACCACTTTCGTTCTTGCTTTATTCAGAATCCTTCAAAGTGAAGATCTGAGTAAGACAAGGCTGTCTACTATTTCCAGTGATTTTTCTGATTGCGGTAGACTGGATAATGCGACAGACGGACAGGGGGCAGCGAGGAAACAGGGATAAAATGGGCCCACACGAAAAAGAGCAACAAGTTGGCAGAAGAAGTATCAAAGATATGACTTTAGGTGAATACAGAGAAGACAGAGGTGACGAAGATTCCTGGACAACGGCAATAGCAACCACAACAGACAACAATCAGCCAGTATGAATGGGAGGAGTATGAAAGAAGCAACCTACCCGGGAAGCATCGTTCTCTCAACTAGAGGCAGACGGAACTGACGAGGATATCAAATCGAAGATCGGGAAAGCAAGGCAAATTTTCATTAAACTCAAGTCTCTGTGGAGGTCAACAGCACTCAGTATCAAAACTAAGATCCAGATTTTCAACTCCAATTTGAAGTCAATGCTACTCATTATGCGGATCAGAGACTTCGCGCCTCCTCATGAAGGAAACTTTGAACAAACTACAGACCTACATAAATAGCTGTCTTCGCTCAATACTTTGCTCAAGATCAGATGGCCAGAAATTATCAGCAACAGGTAGGGATCTCTGGGAGCGAACCAACCCAGCAGGAACCAATTGTGTCGCAAATCTGCAGGAAAAAAATGGAGGTGGATTGGCCATACTCTGAGAGAACAATCCATCAAGTGAGTGACATCACACGCCATGCCATTGGTCGAGTGGAAGACGAATGGGAAGCGGCGAGCTGGCCTTCACTTCGAGGGTGACATGGAGGAGGTCATGTGAAGAGGAGATGGAAGCGTGTGGGCAGACGCAGAGGCAGGTGAAAACGTTTCCGGAGAACCGAACTCAATGGAGACGTTTGGCTGAAGCCCTATGTTTCTCCAGGAATTGAAGGAAATGATAAATGCGTCGAAGCTCATCCATCAATGTGTTGGACCCTTAAAAACAGACACTTCACTAAAGAATGATTTTGCTGGATAGGCAGTATACTGATGAAATGAAGATATTGTCTGCTTGAAAAATATGAATCGCTTAGTTATCCTGTCGTTCCGATTAATCACTGAAATATCATGAAAGTACATATGTTCATGATTTATCCCTGCGTTAGCTGTTCTTGTCATCAGAAAGCTGAATGGTCGTATAGACTGACTGCATAGGTTGGAACTGATGGATTTTCGTGGCGTATGGTGGCAGAAAATATTGAGTCCTCAATCCCATTGTAGTGATGAGGTATGGAAAAGCCGGACGGTTAGTGGCGATAGATGAGTGCTGATTACTTTCTTATCTATACTTCGCTATTGTTTCATCTGTGCTTGACTTCAAACTACTACTGCTGTTTCGAATCCCACTGCTCTTGACCTCTGCATTCGTGCATTGAATATTGTTAACTGTGGATCTCCTGTTATACATCTCGTCTATTTTGGTTTATTAATGCAAAGTGATAGTGTTTTCGATGTCATTCAGCCTAGGTACCTCATAATTTCACGTTTTCATATTCTGCGTAATTCTATTATTATTACTGCTATTCCCTTAGGTTCCAAGTGAAACAAGTGCGTTGGTGGCACAGTGGTTAGGACTCTCGCCGACCATGCACATGGTCCGAGGTTCAAGCCCCTGCCGGCGCACATCCGATATCTATGGTCGGCCTGCAAAATTTGGGCTACCGATATCCATGCTAAAAATGCGATACTTGTACTGAAAATACGGTGTGGCACCAAGCTGTAACCAAAATAAAATAAAATAAATAACACACGTGGCTTCAACAACGCATTCCCATTTCGCCGACTTCCCTGCAGTTGGATCTAGCTGGCTCCATGATTTCCCATTAGACCCCATCTCCTCCTCACACACGATCGCCTCCCTGTCGCATTAGGATCAACACCGAACTCATCGTTTGCCATTTGGCTTCCAATCCAGCGATGGCCTGGCGTGCAATGCTACACGATGGTCTCTCCAGCGTGTTTCCGATCCATATTCATTTTCTCCTGCACAGTTTTTGGATAATATGTTCCTGATTGGTTTGTTCCCAGAGTTTCTTGTTGCTAATTCTTTGTCGGCGACCATCTGATCTTCAATATGGAGCCAGAAATGGCAGGTATTGATGAAGCTATTGGAAATGCTTTCGGTGACGCTCTGGTCAAGTTTCTCAAGTATATAAAAGAACTGACCAACTTAATATTGATGTTGGAAATCCGAATCTTGTTCTTTATGCAATGGAGATCAGAAGATTTCCAAACCGATTTCAGATTGACGAAGGTCTGTCTTGCTTATCCGATGCTGACTAGTTTAGACATCCATATCTGTGCCATAGCCTGCAGTTGAAACGATGCTGCCTAGCCAGATAAGTGAAGGAAGTGACCTCTTTCAAATTTCTCCCACTGATGGTGGGTGATTTGTGCTGTTTGTTGCTGCTGTTGACTGTTTGTTTGGTTATCTTCATCACCTCCGTCTTCTCTATGTTCACCTGGCTGCATGTCTTCACTGCCTACTTCTTCAGACAGTTTATCGCTCTTCGCCTGCGAGTTTTCGAGTTTGTCTGATATTCAGTATATAAATCATCCATGTGCGAAATTCAGATCCACTAGAGTCTTATTATTGGTCCAATCTATTCCCTTCTCCTCGCTCCAAACGCACAGTCTGATGCATAAAGAGTTCACCACAATTAGGAAATTAGAGAATAATAATGAACTAGAAATATTACTTGTTAGATTATACAGTCTATTAAGAATTTATTTTATCAACAGACTATTTACAGTTAACTATTGTGTCTAAATACTGAATACTTAAAAACTGTTAGCCTATTCCTTGATCTTAAAATCATTCGTAAAATGAATAGATGAGTAAATTTTTAATCTTTAAGTTAGTTAAAAGTGTTGTAATTCACTTACATGTCTATGTCTACGTTGGTGTTTCGGTAGCTTCTGACAGGTTATTAAAACGCGAACATTGTAGGCTTCGTGTAGTGCTTTGAGTAACGTTGATCTCTGTAAGTACACAATAATTATAACACAGAATAACAGGTGAGTGTTGCTTACCAGGTTCAATACTCGATTACGTATTTTGTTTTTGTTTTCATTTTCTCATTAAAAGACAAAATCAAGTAGTAGAATGAGTAAAATAATAAATACTCAGTAGAGCTTTGCACCTTCATTTGAAAGATGTTAATTCTCTCTGGAATTTTACATTAAAACTATTAAGTCAGCAGGAAATAGTTATGCACAATGTGTGTTTTGTGACGCTGAAAAGATGATTCTTCAATGTGTACAATAATTCCTTCTTTTTAAAATTTCATACATTTGGTTCCCTTGATAAATTTCGATAGAGAAAGAGCGAAGGACAGAAAGAAGGGCTTCTATCTGGTTTTCAGAGCATATTCCAAGAAAATTATACTTAATAGGAAGCAGATATTTACCAGTTACCAAACAGTTACCAAACACACACCCTGTGGATACGGGTCATTTTGGAGAGAATTCCAAATCCTTCAAAATATTAAACATACAAAGGACAGAGAATCTACTACGATTTACTGCTGAAGCAATTGCCATCAAACGTCTCAGACCAAACTTATGCACACCGGAAGAGAGTGTAGTCAATCTCTCACTCGCTTGGTAACCTTATTACTTTCATTACACTGATTAGTCATCCACACTTGTGAGCTCAGCAAACTAAGCAAGTTTTCAGTTTGATGAACTTTAACTTTCTTTCCTGGCCAATACCACCAACAGCACCAACAACAACAGACAACAATCAGCCAGAATAAATGGGAGGACCCTGAAAGAAACAACCTCCTTTACCTACCTTGGAAGCATCGTTTCAACTGCAGGCGGAACTGATGAGGATATCAAAGCAGCGAGGATCGGGAAAGCAAGACAAGCTTTCACTACTCTGAAGTCTGTGTGGAGGTCAACAGCACTACTCAGTATCAAAACTAAGATCCGGATTTTCAACTCCAATGTGAAGTCAGTGCTACTCACTATACGGATCAGACACTTGGCCAGCGCGTCATAAAGAGCATCTCAAACAAACTACACACCTTCATTAACAGTTGTCTTCGCTCAATACCACTCAAGATCAGATGGCCGGCCAGAAAAGATCAGCGACAGAGATCTCTGGCGATGTGCGAACCAACCCAGCAGGAACCGATTGTGAAACAAATATGCAACAAGAAATGGAGATGGATTGGCTGGCCATACTCTGAGGAAACCATCAAGTGACATCACTAGACAAACCATTGCTTGAGTGGAACCCGAAAGGAAGCGGCGAGTTGGTTGTCAGTGCAAGGGTGACTTGGAGGAGGTGATGTGAAGAGGAGATGAAAACGTGTGGGCAGACATGGAGCCAGGTGAAGACTCAACCAGAGAACGGAACGCAATGGAGACGCACGGCTGAACCCCTATGTTCCTGTAGGAATTAAAGGATACAATAATAATAATAATATTGACTTTCTCCAATTCACTAAAATGTAACCTTTGTGTTCGAAAGGAATTCGTTGTCAAGTGTTGATTTGCAAGAATCTGAGTGATCTCAATCTAGATCATGAAGTGACTCCAGTTAGAGAACCACTGAAAACCAGAGAGACGTTAATAGCTGTCTTATCATTACTTGGGAGTCTTCGAAAGTACGCACTCACCGCACTAACCTTCGTTGGACGTAAAGACAAATATTGGTCGAAGACATTGGCTGGCAGTTGTGGTATGCATTGCAAACTCGAAGAAGATAGAGTCGATTAGCTGTTAGATCACGTTTCAGTGGCTGAATAGTGGTATACGTGAATTGATTGGTAATTTCATAGGAACCACAGGAGGTTAAATCGTCAGATCGAATATCTCATCATCGCTGATGTCTGTGACAGCACAACTGGGAGACACTGGTTCAAATCTCAGAGGGGAAGACAGTTCCTTCAAAGTTACAGATCAGCATCACCAGCAAACACAAGATCTAAGTCCAGATCATTCCTGTTGATTGTCGCTAAACAACCAACACCGAAGTAAACCATGTTGACAAGGATGTTCATTATAGCTTTGATCTAATTAGTGTTAAATACATTTAAACAAAATGAGTAAATCCAGTGAAATAAAATGAATTCATTCATCTACTGCTTCAGAATTTTCCACATTAATCCTGATTTTAACTGGCTTTTTGTACAAAGTTGTAGATAGAAGGAATTAACAATGAAACTGCCATTTTTATGCTATCTATCATTATCAGTATGGGATTAAGAGACTGGAGGTTGTTAATTCAAGGTTCAACCCTTTTTCTGATAGTCAAGCAATAAAACAAATAAATAAATGTCGCATTTTGGTAGCTGTTAGCTCAAAAATGAATTTGATTCTGTTGCGAAGTTGGAAAAACTTGTTTCCTAATAGTTGTGTTGTATTTCAAACCAGTTTTCGCGCACAAATTGTTCGATAATTTAATTACGCGTCATCTTCAGTAGAAAAAAATTGAATGGAGGATTTCATCATGAGCTGACATTGCTAAGAGAACCATTGGAAACCTTGAGAGTACTGGACAGCTGTTTCGTCCTAGTTTGGGACTCTTCATCAGTACGCACCCACGCGAGGAGGTTCGAACCCATGACCTTCTGGTTGCAAGGCTAGCGAACTCGAAGACCATTGAGCCACTGGGACCCAATCCATTGGCCAGCCCATGAAGTCTAACTTCTGTCAATTCATTACATAGCGCGACCATTTCGCAATAACTTCTTCGATGAGCAACTGCCTTATCTTCAACCTGCTGTACCCTACTGGTCACGTCTTCTCAATAGAACCCCAGGTAACTAACTGCCTGAATAGGGCCAGTCGCTAGTGAGCATCAGAATAATTTCCAAGTATTGGTTTTGTTTGATTAGATGGAGGCAGTAAATCATCGAAGAAGATATTGCGAAATGGTCGCGCTATGTCGTGAATTGGCAGAAGTTAGAATTCATAGGCTGGCCAATGGATTGGGTCCCAGTGGCTCAATGGTCTTCGAGTTCGCTAGCCTTGTAACCAGAAGGTCCTGGGTTCGAACCCCGTCGATGGGTACGTACTGTGAAGAGTCTCAAACTAGGACGAAACAGCTGTCCAGTACTCCCAGGTGGTTTTCCAATGGTTCTCTAACCAATGTCAGCTCATGATGAAATCCTCCATCCAATCAAACAGAATCCTTACAAAACCAATTCTAGAAAAAAAATTGTTGGCGTATTTATTGATGATTATTCATACAGGTAATTACTACTGGATTAAATGACAAAGAAATTTCTAAATTCAAATTTTTGTTTCCTGTTGACTTTTTTATGATTAACATTGTATGAATACTATATTGATTAATTTGAGGAGGATAAAAGTCATATTCAGTCATTACTTCATGGAAATATTAGCAAAAATAGAAATATGAAAGGTCAAACACTTCCATGTTCTTTCGACAGTCACTCAGGAAGGTGTACACCAGCGGAAAATTACTTCCATAAACCAATCTATTGATAAGAACCTCCAGTTTTAATACTATGCAATGGAAAATAAATCTGGTTTTGTTCCCTGTGAATATGTGCTGGAAATCAGTTCTATATCGATTTCAAAGCCTCTTTTTCATAAAACCTAGTGCTTGAAGCATAGAACAACGAAGAGAATAGCCAGAATCCAACCTCCATATAACCTGAGTAATGCAGAAATGTCACTCGTTGCGCGCTAGGCCCTCGAGTGGGACCGGAGTGGGAAACGATGAGTGAGGCTTCCGAGGGTGACATGGAGAAGATCATATTAAAGGGAGATTAAAGACTACGGGCAATCGTGGGCCCAGTTAAAGCGGACAGCAGAAAGTAGAACAGAGTGGAGGCATGTTGTTGGAGCCTTCTGTTCCAGGTGGAACCCAAGCAAGCAGTAATAAATAATAGTATACATTGCCCTTCAGCTTTGTGTAATGGTAATACCAATTGCACATTTATTCTTCTCAACGTCTTATATCTATCTAGATATACTGCATTACATTATAAAACGGGGATGTGTCCCATAGTCACATAATCACACTGTATACCTGATCGATGGATTTCTGTCAAGTGGACGGGGTGACGATGGGCTCCCCATTGGGTCCCATTTCGGCTGACTTCTTTCTGAGTAAACTAAAAAATGGACCTTTGAACAACCTTATCAGAAAGTTCTCATTTTATTGCCGGTATATGGATGAGAACTTCATTCTTTGTGATAATGATTCGGATAGGAGTACAATAATAACTGAATCCAATGAAGTACATTCGGTTATGAAATTCACGTGTGAAGAGGAATCCCAAAACAGAATTGCCTTCCTGGATGTCTTCCTTACAAGAAAACCAGATGGTAGCATAAAACGAAATTTGCATAGAAAAAGTAGTTGGACAGGACAATATACACATTTTCACAGCTTCGTTCCTCTCCAGTACAAAAGAAATTCAGTGAAGACCCTCAGCCACAGAGTTAGAGCTATATGCTCAGAAGAAGTAATTGAAGATAAATTAAGCATTGTATGTGACACTTTGATTGAAAATAGCTATCCCGACAAATTTATCAAGAAACACATGACAAAGAAAGCGGAAAAACACTACTCACTATCCGTAAACAAGAAGCCTGTTTATATACAACTGCAATTCAAGGGCGATATACCAAGTGAAATAATTACGAAGAAATTAAGAAAATCAGTTCAAAGAACTTTTAATGCTGGCGAACTACACGTATTATTCTCTACACGACCGATGGTGATTCCTCGACTGAAAGATGAAGTACCCAGACTAGCCACTTCAAATTGTGTCTACCAATTCAACTGCGCTTGTGGAGCGAGTTATATCGACCGCTGCTCTAGGAACTTGATTTTTCGTGCTCGAGAGCATCTCCCACTATGACTAAGTAAAGGCTTAGTGAAAACCAATAATAGTTCGATATTGGACCATCTGGTGCAAACCGGCCACAAAGCCAGCCAGCGTGGAAGAATCCTTCTCTATCATCTACTGGGTGCCTAATAAGTTGTCAATTTCATCATCGAAGCACCGCATGCTCCAAACAGCAGAGGCTATTGCAATTCGCCTCAAACAACCAGTGCTCTGTGTTCAAAAGAAGGAAGTCCAACCCCTACTACTGCCCTGGCCTTCAGTAGAGACTATAAATTCATGAATTTGTAATATTATCTTTCCTAATTTTTCTGACATTCAGCTTATTGTTATGTTGATGCCATTGAACTGTAATCCATTGATATTATTATTATTGATTCGATGTTATCTAAACAACATTAATGTTGTTAATAACACTAATTCACTCATTCACTATTATGTACATATAATTGTATAACCTAATGAAGAGAAGGTTATCGAACAGAATATTCTTTGTTCAGTAACCATTCTTTTGTAAACTATCGATCAGTTAATATTGCTAATGAATTCCATTGTATCACATTCACTTTTGAAAGAAAGTGTCATTTTGTGGTTTAAAATCAGTCCTTGATATTTCACGAGTTACTAGGCTTATTTTGGAACTGTTTAGATCTTTTGGAAAAAACTGACTATGATATGTGATACCATAATTTACCATAATTTCAAATTCTTTTCGATTCTAAAATAATAAATAAATAAATAAATAATAATTTGAATATTCCCATAATTTATTCAGAACAAAATATTTAGAGCGAACAATCGTGGTTTCAATAAATTCTTCTTCAGGCTCTACAATTATAAATCCATTAATTTAAGCATACAATAGCCAGCCAGTGAAGGCAAATTAGAATCATATCAGAAAGTGTATTGTGGAACAAGTATAAGATGGGATGGAACAATAGTCAGATAGTTTTTTAATATGCATGGTCAATGAGAACATGGGACAAAATCAGATGAAGTAATTTAATTTAATGATGTATATATATATATATATAAATATAGTCAACAGAAAATACAGATTTCGAGAGTGTGTGTAATCAAGGTGTGTGAGACAATATGAAAATAAACCAACGAATGGGGCGGACTAGACATAAGTTCAAGGTTGAAAATAACGACAGTAAGAATGATTGTAAAATAATAACGATGATATGGTGTAAAATTACAAGCACTATTGGTGAATGATTGTCAAATAATAATAATGAATATAATGAAGTGGAATGAACAGGATTTTGTAAATACGATAGCAAGTTAGAAAAGCACTACTTAAACCTAAGGTAATAAAATCATAAGAAAGGTCATGAAATCATAAAAGTCGAAAATGAACGATTGTCAATGAAACAGAGGAATAGAAGAAGAAGAAAAGAAAATTGTGAAAGAAATTTATAGTGTTAATGGAGGATTTGTTGGCTTTATTGTAGGCCAAGGTAAACATAGAGGTTGAACATACTTCTTCTGTATGCAAAGAGATGGTCTTCTGGTATTAATTGCCACCGCTTCAGCTACTGATAGAAGACGTAGTCGAGCTCCTCTAGATAAATTACTAGGAACGCGGTAAATAACTGAGAACGCCTGGTCAAGTTTTATCGGGTGTCCCGTATCTACCAAGTGGGCTAAGACTGCACTATTTACACATTTGGTTACTCCTTTACTCAACCATACAGGTACATGTTCACGCACGCGCATGGATAAAGCCCTCTGAGTACGGCCAATGTAACTAGCTCCACATGAGCAGTTGAATTCATAGAAATACATTGATGAGGCCATCTTTGGTAATTTATCCTTTACTTGCTGTGTGAGTACTGGTTTAGTTGAGAAGTTGAGTGCCAGTTTGGCTGCGGGAAATGTTCTATCTACTGCTCTATTAAGTCGACATTTTAGAATGTCACCTGCAATTTCCCCTTTGTAACTTAACTTAAGATACAAAGGTTTCTTTTCTACGGTATCCACCTTTATCTTGTCTGTAGGTATTGACATATACTTATTTTTTAGGAAGCTCTGTGGATATCCATTTTCTTCCAGTGTGAGTTTCAGTTTATGCATTTCTTCCTTAATGCATTCCTCTGAACATATACGTTTTATTCTATAGCTTAGACACTTAACTAAGTTTCTTTTGTACTGAATCGGTGCGAAGCTATGGAAATGGGTGTACTGACCCGTCCAAGTTTTCTTTCTAAATAGTTTCCTTTGTAGATATCCGTCTGTCTTCATGGTAAGGAGCACGTCTAGGAAACGTAAACTGTTATTGTCTTCTTCTTCACATGTGAACTGAATAGTTGGGTGAACACTATTAAGAGCATTTAGAAGATCTTGTACTTGTTCCACAATACACTTTCTGATATGATTCTAATTTGCCTTCACTGGCTGGCTATTGTATGCTTAAATTAATGGATTTATAATTGTAGAGCCTGAAGAAGAATTTATTGAAACCACAATTGTTCGCTCTAAATATTTTGTTCTGAATAAATAAATAATAATTCTAAAACTAATTACTAATTGAATGACAGTTTCACTTACTCCTAATAACTGATCATTAACTGGTTGAATTCCGAATGCATTCAGCTTGCTAAAACAATAATAATAAGATAGACAGCTTGGTTATTTCCTGTGTAGTATAATTTACACAAAAATGACAGTGGCATTCTTAAGATTTTCGAATTACCCCACCTAACTGGGAAATCCTCCAAAATGCTCAACAAACTTGACAAAAATAACATGACATGATTGCAAGGTAAACGAGTTATTCGAATTTTAATAACGTCGATATTTCTTTCCTGAATTGCTTATTGACTACAGGAAGAGATTAAATAATAAGGCACCAGTGCTAACAGGCCAGTGTATTCATATTTTAGCCTTGAAAATTAAACACCTATCTATCTATCTACCAGGTTGTTGATTTTGTCAATCCAATATTCACATACTGAATCAGAATGAGAGAAATTGTCTTTTAACTGATGACGAGACCTTTTGAGATAATAGTGGCCTTGGTTGCGTGCTGACCAAACTAACAGTTTGGTCTCTCTACCTCACCATCTTTTCTCAGATCATCTCAACAAATTGACTCTGTACAGTGTTCAAACTCTTCTTATATGATTGAAGCCTGTTAATGAATTTGAAATATTATTTTTTTTATCATATTCCTTTGAGTCCCCAGTGGAACATTGGGATTCAAGTTAGAGTTCCGAAGTTTCAGTAGCAGTGGTGTTTTTTTCGGGATGCGCTGGGTGCTAGCCTCACGTCCAACCTTTCCTCTCCACTGGGCTTATCACTGGATAAGAGACGTTTTTCAGTGCGCCAGTAGGGGAAATGAACTCGGACAGATCGCTTCGTTGGCCAGCATCCTACCACTGAATCACCGACGTCAATTTGAATTATTTGCATGCTACTATTCACTTGTTTAAGTAGCATATTTTGTAAATTATCATTTTATGGGAAATCGTCAAATGCTGATAAATTCACCATTAACATTTGGTAAAATAGTTCTTTCTTTAATATAGAGAAGAATATGAATTATTCGTCAGAGAAGTATAACTTACTCCAGTAAATCAATTTTATCTTTTAAAATTAAGGACGTATTAAAATAGCCAAGTTCATCAGATATTAAACTGTCTTCTGTTGCACATTGACCGTGTTTATACCATTCATGTTCCCTTTGAAATGATAACAAGAAAATTATAAAATAAAATAAAATAAAAAATTGTGTTACTGAGAATTAGATGATTGAAACACGATTTTTCACCGTTTAGGTGTATCTACGAGTATTTGATTCGACTGATGTCTTATTTCTACTGCTATTAGTTACTTCTCAACTGTTCATAAGCTGGCAAAACACAACAAAATTCCAAGAGGGATAAAATAGAGTCATGTTAAACTTTAAGCACCATTAACTACCAATGGAGTACGACTGCACTGATTACTTTGAATGGGCCAATGAGTTTTGTCACGTGAGTTCAAGCTTTCATTCCGCTTAATTAGAGTGAAATACCGCCTCTAATGGGCTTGTAAGTGATTAACTGATGGGAAAGGTAAGAATTTTTTCATGTGATGTTATCATTAGTATAAAAAGTTTCGTTAAATCGGTAGATGGTCATGTGCACGGTTGCGCAATTTGTCTGAGACGAGTTAGTGTCACGGAAGATAAGCTAATGATTTTACAATTTCGTAGGAATATTTTTCACCAGGTCCCGTCTATCCTTAACCCAGATTTCGTATATTTGTAATTACTGGGTTTTGAAACACACTGTGAGCGCTACAGCTGCTCAGACGGAGAATAGTCTCTTTTCAACAGTTCAGCGGCACCAGCACTGCAGGTATATCGCAACGTAGAAAATGGAGAGACTTACTTCCTTAACGGGAAGAGAAGGTGTCATTGTACATGTAGATGAAACTGTCTTGTTAAAGAGGAAATACAACCATGGTTGAGAACGAGTGAATGATGTTTGGACCATTGGTGTGTGCAATTCCTTTCTACAGAAAGGATTCGTCGAGGGAGTAGCAGACAGAATGTCAAGTAATTCAATACTGATTATCATTCGACTGGTGAAACGAGGATATAGAATACACACAGATGAGTGTGAAGGGATATAATTGGTTGTCACCCCTGTGATATAAATTCACCATAAAGTAAACCACACTAATGATTATGTGGATCTTGCCAAGCAGCGACTGGGACCGATGTTTGAAGAATTTTAGGGAATATTGAAGATCTGGACTGCAGCCATTCGCGGATCTCAAAAGGATGTGTTTTACAACCCTTGAAATGAATACATGAATCGAACATGGTTTACGTTCTCTGCTGATACTTCTCTGGACAACCGGGAGTTGTTTTTACCCCATGTGAGAGAAAAGTATCTTCTGTAACACTTTTATACAGTTTTTATGCAAGATTTTAATAAATATAACCTTTTCCATGTGATTGGTGCATTCAGGGTCATTCGCTGATTGGTAGTTACTGGTGCTTAAAGTTTATCTTCTCCTAGTATCTGCCTCATATTATTTATTCTGTATTGATGTGACTGTCAGCAAAACCTGGAAGTAGTTTATCAGTCCCTTGTGCAAGCCTACTGTTCCAACGACAACCAGCACGACACGATGCCACCAACATGCGAAGTAAGGAATTGAGGAAGGGGACAGACCATCAAAGAGACAGCTTTTACTGTCTCGGATCAACAGAGAAAACGTTGCACAGCGATTTCTCATATATGGGTTATAAATGACCTTCAAATACTCTAATTCCATTGGTAAGTTGAGACAGTTAACAACCAGTAGAGTTCAGCCTTCATAATGGAGGCGGGAGGGAATACAAACATTGCGGTACCGTGAATAAAGGTAGTAGTTTAAGGATATCAAAATAGCAAAGTGTATATAATAGGTATCTTGTCACCTGATCACAGAGGGGACTGTGAGAATATTTGGTCACATTGAGTCCCAAGCACTAGGACGAAACAGCTGTCTAGTACTCCAGGATGGTTTTCCAATGGTTCTCTAAGCGATGTCAGCTCATGATGAAATCCTGTAGACAATCAATCAAATTCCTACATACCAATACTGGAATCTCTAGAAGTCTGGCATGATATCTGACTAATACGTTTATTTGTATTGCCAACGGAATGTGCCAGAGCAATTGGTCCTCTTCAATGAGCTAATCCAACTGTTTTCTCTCTTATATACTGATAGAAGGAAGAGCAGTCTTGTCAAAAGTTATACACTATCATGATAGATACAGCTAAGAAACTGCTCAAGAGAATCACCACATTCCATAGAACCATTCCTTTCTTGGAGTATTTACAAAGCAAAATATTTGAAGAAAAAAACAAAAAACAACACCAAATGTTTGAAAACGTTTACCAAAATGGTATTGGATTTTGATAGTCCATCAAATTCACCCATTCAGAGTCTAATTGACCCCTGAGATCCTGAAATAAAATTTAATTAAGTTGATCAGGAATGAATAAATTTTAAATTTCTCTTTACCATTCTCAAAGAAACATCAAAATTGAAGTTTAATGTGACTATGTGACTTGTTGACACTGAGCACATGTGAGAACATCCATGCATCCAGCCATTTTGGCTTTTACGAATTTGAGCACATAGTGATATCAGCTAGAGGACCATTGAAAACCAGCACTGGAGTACTGGACAGCTGTTTCATCCTAGTTTCGGGAATCATCGGCAGTACGCACCCACCACCAGGGTTCGAACTCAGGATCTTCCGGTTACAAGGCAAGCTCGTATACCATCCTGGGTGGGTGGGCACTGCCGATGATTCCCAAAACACTAGGATGAAACAGCTCTCCAGTACTCCTTGGTTTTCAGCGTTTTTCTAGCTGTTATCAATCCGTGGTCAAACTCATAAAAACAAAACTAGTCCTTACAAACCTTTGAGAACCCTTGAAAATATAGCCATTTTGTCATAGTTCTGCAGGCTAAACTATCCAAGTTTCATCGGTAATATAAGATAATATATGACATAAATACAGGTGTACAATGTTTGTACAAAATGTTGTCTAAAGCGTATAATGTGAGTGGCGAAAATCAGGAATCACAGGTAATTACAGTCGCTTAAATTTTAAGAAATTCCAACTTGAACTGTATAATTAGCAAAGTAATAAGTTTCAAGACCATTGCAACACCATTTCAGTCAGGTAGCTGACCAGATTTTAGGATGGTTTTAAATTGATTCACTTGCCTAAACTCCTCATTATTTTAAGCTACTTAGGTTATATTCACTATTCACTTTTTAAACAGTATCACTGGATACAACATTACAACAAACAATGTGTTGCAGCTTGCCTAAAACCTGGTCTAAGGGAAAACCTCCATCAATATATACTGCATATAATTTCTCTAATTCCGTTTGTTTAAATCTGGTAATATATATGACCTCCATTAGTAATGTTTACTCTGGTGAGTATTTGAAGTATTTAAAACATTCTGACTGGCAAGTTCCTAATAAAAATGAAGCGAAAAAGCTTTGTCCTTGATGGATGGCAGCTTATACCAGTAAACACAAGATAACTGTCCCTAAATGGTGTCCTTGATTCACAGAATGTACTCCTGAACTTTTTAAAATTGCCATTCAACAAACTATCGTCGTGTATTTCTCGAAGGAGATAGAGAAGAGATATCATATTGGATTGGTTTGCACTTCAGGTGAGATGGAACTGTGTCACACAATCTACTCTCAGTCAATTAACCTTTTATTTGAAGATCCTAGATGCAGAAAAAATACCACGCAATTAACTCCGCTGAAAATTCTGTACATTAAAATGAACACTGTTCCGAATAAAGCTCTTATCATTATTATTACAAAGGTGGAAGGCACATTATGGGTAAATATTATTTTGATAAAGTCTCACAGTGTTATACAGTAATGTTTACTGATGACGTTTCGAGCACAATTTATTGCTCATAATCATATCAAGGTAATCACACGACTTTCCAAACTCATTTATATAGTTCCATTGTTTTCCACTTGATTTTCACCTGATTTGATTGGTAGTATTATTTTCCATATTTCGGGTATGAGTCATGATTCATTCCTATTGCATGTGTTGGGTGTAGATTCGATGAACAAAGATTCAGTAATCAACCTCTCTCTCCACCTACCTAGATTACTTTTTAGAATTTTAACCCTCTCTCACCCTATTGTGTGGTTGTTTGTTAATGCATGCATTGCAATTGCCGAGCTTTTTTCTAAATTACTTATTTTCTCTGGGTCAACCATTCTTACCTTAGCTAAATTCTTATGTTCCGACAATCTGACTACCCCACCCCGACCTACTAGTTTGACCTATGTAGTTGACCTGACTCACAGTCATTTCAGGGTATTTTGTAAATTATATTATTTTGTCTAATTGGGTCGACTGGGTGCTTTAACCTACAGAGCTTGTCCTACCTGAGTGAGTTTGTAGGTTTAAATGCCACCCTAATTCCTGCTTTATTTAGAATCCTACGTAGGGTCTCAGATGTCCCCTCTTTATATGGTATAACTGTAGATGACTTATATTCTCTCTTATTTATGTTATTATTACTAGTTTCACAATTATCTTTATTTTTATTTTGGCCTTTTTTAATCTTCCTAATGAATTTTAAAACAATAGTTATTTAACACCATGTCCTTGTTCATCGAATCTACACCCAACACATGCAATAGGAATGAATCATCACTCATACCTGAAATATGGAAAATAATACTATCAATCAAATCAAGTGAAAATCAAGTGAAAAACAACGGAACTATATAAATGAACTTAGGAAGTCGCGTGATTAACTTGATATGATTATGAGCAATAAATTGTGCTCGAAACGTCATCAGTAAACATTACTGTATAACACTGTGAGACTTTATCAAAATAAAAATTTACCCATAATGGAATTACACTCTAACACAGTGCCCAAGTTTTATTCTTATATCAGTGGAAGGCACATTCAGTCTTGCAAGTTGTAGTGAAAACAGGACGCTTGTTCATGATTCCATTTTCGATAGTGGATTCGTTTTCCACATTTTAATTTGAATCTTCATAAAATTTAATGTATCTATTATTAAATTTCAGTAGAACCGCAATACACACAATACTAAATTCTATTTTCTTCACTTTACAAACTTTTATTTCAAATTCTACAAGACAATTTTCGTATGCGAATTCTGTGTACCCAAATAGTTTTACTGGGTTTTATTTTCTCAATCGTAGTGTAACAGGATGAAAAGATATAAACGGTTGGGAGTGAATTTGCATGTGCTTCTTTGTTTATTCTCACATCATTTTCGTGTAGAGAAGCATGCTTATAAGTAGGATATGTAATAATAAAATCATAAACATTCGAAAGGCTCATTTCAACGCTCATATTGAATATATCATTCAGTTTGAAAATGACACGTATTCCATTTTATGAATGCTACATTATTTGGAACAATTAATTCAAGAATTACCATATTAGTTTGTTTATTAGATGTATCACACAGTGAAACAGTATTACTGTTTACTGGATGACAATGTTTCGAAAAAAATTCATTATTGTTCACAATCATATAATCAGTTATAATCACACAACTTCGAAACTTGGGTTTCATAGTTTTCTTTGTTCTCTCCTATTTGTCGTCGTTGGGGTAGCAGGATTTTCCAAATGTCTGGTTGGACAGGTGTTGAATCATTCCTGTGACATGCATTTCCGTTCATTTGATTCGGCAAACAAAGCTTCTGTTTACAATCTCTCTCTCCACCCTCTTACATCTAATACACCACAATGACTGTTAGCTCAAATACATAGATGACAGTAGTAGAACAGGGGCAGTCAGGCTAGCCGAGAATAAAAACCTAGCAGCAAAATCTAGATTATTTGACCCAAATAAGATAAGAAATCTAGAGAATAGATCAGCTATAGCACTCACTATATGCAATTACACACACACACACACCATAGAATAGAATGGGAAAAGATAACAGTTTTAAAATCTAACAGAACAGGGTGGAGGGAGATGTTGATAACAGAAGCTTAGTTTATCGAATTAACTGAATGGAAATACGTGTAACAGGAATGATTCAACACCTGTCCAACAGGACATTTGGAAAATCCTGCTACCCCAACGACGACAAATAGGAGAGAACAAAGGAAACCATGAAACTCAAGTTTCGAAGTTGTGTGATTATAATTGATTATATGATTATGAACAATAATGAATTTTTTTCGAAACATTGTCATCCAGTAAACAGTAATACTGTTTCAGTGTGTGATACATCTAATAAACAAACTAATTTGGAAGAATCTGATTTTCTTAAAATCTGATTTATTACGTTAAGGAATATTGGCGAAAATGGATCTCTAATTTTTGAGATTATCGCGTCACTGTTGTTATCTCGATTGATGGTTACTAGTAGTGAAACACAAAGTGAGTATGTCGTGCAATTTGAGAGTCGTCATTTGGATAGGCCTCCATTATCAGTGGCTGGTGGTGTTCTCACTGAGACTTGGACGCAGTACATATTTTTTGACAGAGGGAAAGCTCTATCTAGTAAGCCATTAGAACCAGGTGTTGTGCTGTGCATATCGGTAGGTATTAGGAAATAGTTTAGATTAAACTAAACTCACCGACAATTTATCGATATCAAAGGCTGGATGAGCTGAACAATTCGTTGGTTGTCTACCGGGCCAAACAGAAGGCCTATCAAGAAACAAACGTAGTAGAAGTAAAATCTGATTATGAAAAGAGAAATAACAACCATCGACGCAGAATAATATGGGTCTATTTTACATGCATTTGTTTTTTTCATTTAGAACGGGTTTACAGCCTAAGGTTGTGACGATTTTAAATATAATCATTACTGATTACAGATTTTATTATTATTTCTCTGGGTTTCAAGTGGAACATATGTCTCCAACAATATATCCGCATTTCACTCTGTTTCCTGGCACCTTTCTTTCAACTGGCTCCACCATCACCTATAAATCCTGATCTCCTCCTGACATGATCTCCCCTAAGGGATTCCAAGGAAGTCCAACTCGTCGTCCACTATTTGAATAATCTAAATATTCTCAGAATATTCAACAGCATACACAAAATGATGTTATTTGAATAGCCATAGTCAGTGGAGGAATCTAAGTTGAGCGTTTGGTTCCTTATTAGACTTGCTGCACTTAGATCTAGAACAATGATTCAATTATTATGGCTACATGATATCTTTTTAGAAACTGCTTCAACACTATGAAGTGCCACCAATCCTTATCGGCTTCATTCAACAGGAATATGACAATGCCACGTGCCAGGTGAACCACAACGGGAGACTTAATGAAGCCTTTGAAGTGAATACGGGGTGGGTAAGACAAGGCTGCGTATTGTCATCGATGACGCTTATAATTGTGGTGAACTGGATTATGCGGCACACTGTGTGTGTGGGAAACGAGAATACAGAAAAGCTTTAGAGCGATAAGAAGACTCTAGAAGATCTGGATTTTGCGCGTGGATGATTTATGTTTAATGTCACACAAAGTGGGAGACTTTCAGGTGAAAACCAACAAACTGGCTGACAAAGCAGGCAGTGAAGACATGCAGCCAGGTGAACATAGAGAAGACGTAGGTGATTAAAATAACCAGCCAACAACTACAACTAGCACCAGTCACCATAAATGGGAAAGATTTGACAGAGGTTACTTCCTTAACATATTTGGGAAGCACAGTGTCAATAATTTGGCAGTCAGAACAGATGAAGATGTCAGAGCCAGTGAGAATTGGAAAACCAACATACATCTTCATCAAACTGAAAGCAGTTTGGAGATCTTTGGCACTCCACAACATAAAGAACTAGGCTTGGGCTTTCAACACACATATGAAGTCAGTCACTTCTTCTATACGAGTCGGAAGCTTGGTTAGTGCGTCACAGACACCAATTCCAACAGGCTACGACAGAATTTCATCAACAGCTACCGCCTTCTCTGGCTCCATATTGAAGATCAAGTGGCCAGCCAGAGAGAATTAGTAATAAGAAATTCTGAGGACAAACCAATCAAAAATTTCTTGTCCAACAAATATGTAGAATAAAATGGAAATGGATTGCTCACAAAATGAGGAGACTGCCGAATGATATCGCGTCCCGGTCCACTGCTCGATTGAAACGTGAATAGGAAAGGACGAGCGGGGCGTCTGAGTGTGACATGGAGGAGAGACTTTGCATAAACATGGGCGCAGTTCAAGGGGACAGCAGAGAACATAAAGAATTGAAGACGCGTTTTTGAAGAGCTGTGTCCCACTTGCAGCCCATGGAAACAATAATCGTAACACGATATCTTCCTGGCACCAAATTTTATATTCTTGGAAATACCTGATGCAAATAAAGGCCAGCTTCAGTATATACATTACTTGATTGAGAATCTTTTTCTGAATGCTGAGAGGATTAATCATGTGAAGCATTTTCAGTATCCTCTATGAATGCGCTCCGAATAGAAATAAAACAGGAATTAAAGTGTTGGTTTGTAACCAGAAGGTCCTGGGTTCCAATTTCGGTGGGTGCGTAATGATGAAGAGTCGAAAACCAGGACGAAACAGCTGTCCAGTACTCCCAGGTTTTCAAGCGGTTCTCTAACTAATCTCAGCTCATGATGAAAATCCCGAAACAGGAATTAATTGATTGGCCTCTATGGTGTAACCGAATTTTTTATGTCTAGTCCTTCATGTCGGTTTCTACTGGCTATCATCGATTCGAATCTTCGAGGAGACATCAGTTCTTTTTGGGCTAGCAAATATGCCCTGATGACAAGTGCGGATTGTCTCCAACTACGTAACATTGAAACCTTAGTATAAACGATGTTTAAATTTCCTCTCCGCTCTGACTGATGTCATTCATAAATGAAACCATCTCCAAGTAAGATCTGTTTCATATTGGTATTTATCTTATCTCATTTAATGATGCAATGAGTAGGTAATCAGAAGTTGTGTAGTTCGAAAGCCAAAGTGATCTAAATTACTTCTTCGATTTTAATAATCGTATCATCATTGTTTATTAAGAAATCAGAATTGAATATAACACTTAAAGTCTGTTAAGTCTGTTAAATTATCTTACCATAATCCATGAATGTTGAAATCATTCATTCTTGGTGGCAGTTTACACTAAAACAAAATAAATAAATATTTAAAATCGATTATTTCTACTGCATTCACAATAATACCACTGAATAAACTGAACTGATAATTTAAATGTGAGTCAATGCTTCAATAATGGAATTCTATCCAACCTCAAACTCAATCCGGATTCAATTCCCAATTGATAAACTCCCGAACCTCAGGGAACGTGTAGGCAGCAAAACAACTGGGAAGGCTGAGTCCACAGCTAGCGACATTACCGCTACCGCAGCTTCCAAGCTCAAGCTTACAGCCCTGTGTTTCACTAGGAACACAACAGAATGATATTTACATATATGTTAAATCCATTTTAATGGAACACAGTCGCATAAATTTGAGTCATATCCATTCTATGAACTTGATCAGTGAAAAATGATTACTGCTTGGATACAGTTAGCAGAAAACTGGTCTCATCCGGGTCGCCGATAACAACTATTTACTTATGTTCTATTGGAGAATATCTCATCCAACAGCTGTACGACAATGCTGCATGCCAAGTAATCCACAACGGGAAACTTACAGAACCCTTCGAAGTGAGGAAAGGAGTAAGACAAGCTGGCTGCCAACCATCGCCAATGATTTTCCTGATTGCAGTAGATTGGATAATGCGACATGCAGCGGGCAATGAGGAAACAGGCATAAAATGGACTCACACAAAATACTTGGAGGATCTGGACTTCGCCGATGATACATGTCTCATTTCCCACATAGTGGAAGATATGCAAGCGAAAAGCAACAAGTTGAGAAGAAGTATCCAGAGAAGATGGGTAGGACTTCAGGTGAACATAGAGAAAACAGAGGTGATAAAAATTCCTGGGCAACACCACCAACAGCAACAACAACGACAGACAACAATCAGCATAAATTGAAAGAACCTGAAAGAAACAACCTCTTTTAACTACCTGGGAAGCATCGTCATTTCAACTACAGGCGGAACTGACGAGGATATCAAAGCAGCGAGGATCGGGAAAGCAAGACAAGCTTTCACTACTCTCAAGTCTGTGTGGAGGTCAACAGCACTCAGAAAGAAATATAAGATCCGGATTTTCAACTCCAATGTGAAGTCAGTGCTACTCACTATACGGATCAGACACTTGGCCAGCGCGTCATAAAGAGCATCTCAAACAAACTACACACCTTCATTAACAGTTGTCTTCGCTCAATACCACTCAAGATCAGATGGCCGGCCAGAAAAGATCAGCAACAGGGATCTCTGGGAGCGAACCAACACAACAGGAACCGATTGTGAAACAAATATGCAGGAAGAAATGGAGATGGATTGGCTGGCCATACTCTGAGGAAACCATCAAGTGACATCACTAGACAAGCCATTGCTCGAGTGGAACCCGAAAGGCAAGCGGCGAGTTGGTCGTCAGTGCAAGGGTGACTTGGAGGAGGTCATGTGAAGAGGAGATGAAAGCGTGTGGGCAGACTTGGAGCCAGGTGAAGACTCTAGCAGAGAACCGAACGCAATGGAGACGCACGGCTGAAGCCCTATGTTCCTCTAGGAATTAAAGGGAACAATATTAATCTATTGGAGAATAATTTTAATTTTATTCCAAGTTTTTCGCAGTTCAGTAATTTCTGCCTAATTGCAGATACAAGTCGCGATACAAACCATGGAATGAATAATTGTGTGGTGTGTAAGAAACTTCTTTTCTGATGCATACAACAATATACCACTAAACAGAATTCTTCTAGGTGACGTTGAAGAAGACCTGGGAAAAGGGATATTTATTAACAGATTCTTGAGTGTTGATTCACACAACATAATAATGAAACATTTTCACTGTAAGATAATAATTTGTTGGCTAACTGAATAATTTGTTCTACAAGCAGAAAACACTGAAATACTTTTTGATGTAGTTGTGTTCTCTGAGCTGGATAGTTAATTTGCGAAGCTTTCATCACCCTACTGGGTGACATCTTCAGCGCATACTTCAATTTGTTGAAGTGAGCTTTTAGATTTCTCCACGAGTTTATTAATCATCTCTCCTGGCGACCTTGGACGTGATTAGTTGCTTTTGTGTGTTTTCACACCTTCTAGGTTATTTGTATTGTAACTCATTTCTTCTTTGACTTGAACTTTGACCCTTTGTGTGTGAGGTTTCTTTCTTATCGGTTGATATATTTTGTCTATCGCGATGTGTCTATTGATTGATGATTCACTGGAATGCCAAGCTTCTAAAAATTCTCTAGCATTCTTGTTGTTTCCTCTGTCTAGTATTTGAACGTTGTCCCAGTCGAATTAATGTCCTTGGTTATCTGTATGTAGTGATATGAGGGAGTGGATATCATGTCTTTTGACAGTTAGCTTATGTTCGTGGATACGAAGACGAAGGGGACGTCCACTTTGGCCAATGTCGTGTTTTTCGCAGTTGATACAATTTATTTTGTAGATGATGTTGGTTTTATCTTCTTTCGCTGTTGAGTCTTTTGGTTGACATAGAATTGAGTGAATTGACTTTGTTAGTTTGTGTGCGACGTCAATTCCTAAAGGTTTAACGAGTCTTGTAGTGATTTCTGAGATGTCCTTTATATATGGTAAGGCGATTTTCTTTGTGCTTTCCTTGGGGGCTTTTGGTTTGTTAGGTTGGCTTCCGGGGTATATGTCTTTTGATGAAATTCCGTGGATATCCATTCTTTTGGAAGACGTCCATGAGATTTTTTCTCCAATTTTCCTTGAGGTGGGAGTGCTGCAATGAGTCCTGGCTCTCTTGAATAGTGTTTGTATGCAATTCCTCTTGTGTGCTATTGGATTGTTGCTGTTGTAATTCAGGATTTGGTCTGTGTGAGTTGATTTTCTATAGACTTGAGTTTCTAATTCAGCTGTCGTTGTTCGCTTGACTAAGACGTCCAAAAATGGGATTTGGGTTTCTGATTCCTCTTCTCTTGTGAATTTGATGTCGTTGAAGACGTTGTTTATCAGGTTGTGAGCCTTATCTTACTCGTTTCTTTTGATAATTACAAATGTGTCGTCTACGTAGCGTATCCAAATCTTGGGTTTGATCTTTGGTAGAATTATGTTCTCGAGCCTTTGCATCACTGCTTCTGCAATCAAACCTGATATTGGCGATCCCATAGGCGTTCCTTTGACTTGTTCATATATTTGGCCGTTGAATTGGAAGTACGTTGTTAGACATAGGTTTATGCATTCCATCCAACTTGTGTGTTGCATTTTTGATTTTTGTGGAAGGTGTTCGTCGTTGCTAAGTAATTGCTCCATGGTTTCTTTTGCTTGTTTTTGTCCGATTGAGGTATACAATGCTGTGACGTCGAAGGATATCATTATCTCTTGTTCATCTATTTGTATGCCTCTGATTTTCTCTAGGAATTGGATAGCGGAGTTGATGGAGTGATCACAAGATTCCGTTAGGTGTTTTAGTTTTCTGTATAATTCTTTGAATAAATTGTATGTTGGAGTTCCTGGTAGTGATACAATTGGTCGTAACGGGATATTTGGCTTTTCTTTTGATAATTACAAATGTGTCGTCTGCGTCTTGGGTTTGATCTTTGGTAGAAATACTAAATAGTGCAATACTAATAAACATGCTCTATACTAAGCACACTCATATGATATAACACACAGTGACATAGTACTGATAAAGGGATGAAGAATTTTGGGAAAAATTTATTGTTCATTATTCATAATCACACCGATGATACACAGTTATATTCTGTGGCAGTACCTGAATTACACACTTGCATTCACTAGTAAAGAAGTTCTGTTTAGAGTTGAATTTGTACTGGAGGTAAGATATTTATCCACATGAATTATGGAAGCAAATCATGACGTCAGGCATTGAATCAAACCTATTGCATGTGTTTCCAGATGATTCTATGAATAAGGCTTAAGTTTTCATTCTTATTCTCCATCTCGTAACATTACATTTTAAGACAGTTACTTTGTCCCTTCCTACTGTATGCTTGTGGGTGTAACAGCATGTAGTGTTAAAGTGGGACTTTCTTTCTAGATTTCTTATCCTCTCAGGGTATATTAGTTTACATTTTACTAGATTTTTGTGCTCTGTGTTAATTTAACTGACCCCTGCCTCCTAAAATGACCTGTGTATTTGATCCCACAGTCATTACATGATACTGCTTAAACTAGATAATTTTATCCAATAGGCTCTACAGGAAGCGTTGGCCAACCAACACAAGTTTTTTCTAAGTTAGCTTGTGGAGTTGACAACTGAAATTATATTTCTCGACTCCACTGAGAAAACATGCTACAGGGGTGGTTCAAAACGTGTTGTATCGCGCGTGTAAAAAACTCTACTGTCCTGACGAGAAACTCGAAGGAAGAATTAGAACTATGTGAAAACCCAGTTTTTGTTAAGTTAGAAGGGATATGATTAAGAAAAGTAAGTGGTTGATGTTGGTTTGTAACAGAATCTACCACTCATGAAGATAACTTTCTTCTTCATCTGAGCAACTGGTTTCATTGAATTATTATTAAATAAATTCCTGTTCATTCATTATGATTAGTCTTCAAATAGTAAAACCAGTTGTTATTGTTATTATTATTTTTACAACATAAAGCTGATAAGAATCATTGGGCAAATCAAATAATTAGATCACTGCCATCAGGTTACCAAGCCCAACTGGTTAATAACCTGAAAGGTTTCCGATTACTTATGTAAACCAATAAAGAGTATGTAGTCTCATGGATTTATACTTGCTTTCTTAACTGTTATATATGGTATGAAGCAGACAATCCACTGTGTTCTCAATCATCTTGGCTTACAGAGGGAACGCCGATCAATATTCACCTCAGAGTATGTGATATGCAAATTTTGAACTTGATTCTAAATCAGATGATTAACAAATATTTTCTATTTTATGCCAGTTATATAAATATGAATGATGAATATATGTTTATGTAGAATATTATATCTTGAATGGAAAGAGCTCACTTCAGCTTTGCTACAGAATGTTGGTGGCCAAGTTAGTGATAAAACAAGATAATTCCAATCATCTCCTTCTTGACTATATCCTGACTGCAGGAGTGTAGCAAAAATAATTGTGAATAAAACAGCGTAGATATACCTAGAAATGATAGGTAAGAAATGTGAAAGGAATTGTTCTTTAAATACGCATTATCATTATTATTCTGCATTTGGTTTAAAACGCAGACATAGTAGTCTCACTTCAATGCAGTCGTAGACAAGTAGATGAAGTCGATCAAAGAATACAGTTAGTAGTTTGAATAAAGAAAGCACAAACATATTTGCAGAATAATACAAGCTCGTTCTATTTCATGGATTCTCTTCAACTGCGTACATCCTAAACAAATCAGTTATAGTTTGATTTGACACTGGTAACTACCATGACATGTCTAGTCCTTTCTTTTGGTGTAGACTGGATTCTATTAGTCAGGTTTGCTATGTGTCCACTATTTCCCTGGGTAGCTCACCATCACGGTGCACATCGATTCGATGATATTAGATGGTTGGAGGCAATCGGTCACAGGAAGCTTTGCTCGACCTGTGTTTCGTGCTAGTTGGCACTCATCAGTCAGCAAGGTGTATCCGTACACTTGAAAGAACTCATCTCCCTTCTGAAATTCGGACCCGCGTCACCCAGTGCCGCCTGCGGTCAGAGAAGTTACCACTGAGCTTGCTATTCGGGCTCACGACTGCCCTCGTGTAGGATTGATGTAATTCAGTCTTCACCAAAGAAAGGACTAGACACTTCACACTAGTTTCTAGTGTCCAATCAAAGTGCCCACTACAGTCCTACAGGAGGTCAATCGCGAGCCCAAATAGCTCAGTGGTAATGTCTCTGACTGAGTGAGTTCCTTCCAGCTTGCAGATACTCCTTGCTGACGATTTCCGACTATAAGGAAACCTAGGTAGAAAGCTTCCTGCCGATCGCCTCCAGCTATCTAATGACATCAAATCAATTATATATTACAAAATGGTGTCTGAAAATACTTTTTCAACTATGACTTCAAGTCATACGTAGATTTTGTAGGTAACATAATAACAAAGATGATGTAAGTAGATAATTACTCAATGTTAAACGAGTAACTATTTATATGGTAATTAGACAAATGATTGAAACTCAAATTCCTCTTGGATAAAAGGATGGAGTATAGACAAAATACAAGGCAGAATGACAGAGTTCATTTTTGCGTATTATGGTAAAGAGTTCAGGAGGGTGCGGTCGTTAGCGAATAACTGTTGGAGACCAGCCAAACATAGAGAAAGAATACACAATATATCACCAAAAACGCCTGCATTACGGTCACCACGCCATGAAATGCATATTTGGAAGCGTTACGCCGGGAAAATTTGTAACTAAAAAAGTATTTTCAGACACCATCTTTTAACACATAATCGATTTATTTAGGATGTTTGCAGTTGAAGAGAATCCATGAAAAATAACGAGCTTGTATTATCCTGCAAATATGTTCGTTCTTTCTTTATTCAAAGTAATAAAGCGAACCGGCTGTATGAAACAGTTAGCAGTGCTTACAAATTCATTTACGCAAAAGTCAGCGTCAGTGATTCAGCGGTAGAATCCTCACAGCATCATATACATGTTACTTGACAAGACCTCCAGTCGACACACTTCTAAACCTCACTAAGACTGTAGTATGACTGGTAGAAGAGGAAGGTTAGACATTTTTTCAAATCATGGAAAATACCCATCGTGACATCAGATTGAAAAGGACAAGAATGTCACGATGGGTATTTTCCATGATTTGAAAAAATGCAAGAACCCTACGACAGTGAAGGAACTCAATGGGTTTCTGCGTTACTCTGTCAAACTTCCTGAAGTGAATGCAAAATTGGACTTCTGGGAAGGTGAGGCTTCATGCGGGAAATGACATACAGTAAAAATATAAAACACGGCTACCAAAACTTCAAATCTCTACCATGAAGCTGTATACTCCACTCAGAAAGAAAAGGAATAGAATCATATATAATTGTTTGAAACTATACTAAAAAAAGCAGCTAGAAATTATAGGTAGCATTTCAAGATATTAACTGTTGAGGTTGAAAATTTAAAGTGAGCAAGTATGTATAAGTTATCGCGAAACAAAACTGCTACTATTTCGTTACAATCTACTTGCATAGGGAAAGGGAGGTAGTCACTTGTGACTTGAATTTCCTCAGATAGTTGATTTTATATGATTCTATATCTATTTGCTTAGAGGAATACCTCAATCCTATCATATGTCATGTTAAGCTATTTTAAAGTGATCGTATCAACTTTCTTACACAGTTAAAGTTTGTACCATGGGGTTCGATATAGTGGACATGGAAACACCTCGTAATATCTTTTATCTTCTGTCTGAGATTTGTGTTGTTATATGGATATGATGAATTTATGAGACAATCTGCAACCTTATGTAGCCAATCGAAATAAACCGCTTTATCAATAATATAGAGTGTGTGTGTGTGGAAAATGTATATTTTGTTGCAATGCATTTTTGTCAAGTCATGTCGCCGTACAGCCATGCGATAGTCTCTGTCAGCCATCTTTAGGTGGTTGCGCAAAGCAGAAGGTATTGAAGGAGATTAGCAAAATTAGGGTGAGTCATGGACACAACGGTAGAATGCTCAGCAACCACGTCCCACGTGTTTAGGGTTCAAACCCCGGCTAACAAGACACTCCTAAGCCCCGCCAAGCCAGTAATAAGTCTGATAAAGAGGGAAGGCTCGGCATGAGTCTAGCAACCCTACACCCTAAAAATAAATACCGCCGCTAACGAAACTTCAAGCCTCCAGCTTGAAGCCCACTATGTCCCACTGGGAACGTATAGGAATAAAAAACAAAGGCATTATTTGGCATTCAAATGTGGTGGGCGCCCCATCTCCTTCAGTAGTTTTGTACCTACGCTCTAATTTTCTCAGCCATATCATGAATGACTCGTCATCTTCAAGCAGGTCAGTGAAGTTATCCCATTAAGAACAGGACAATAAGAAAATGTCTGTGCATACACAACTCATAACCACAGATATCTAAAATCACTGAAAGCATTCAGCTTTGTGAAATCGGTTACAATAACACTAACAACAAAAAAAAACAATTTACAGTTAAAGTCTACAGAATGAAGAATCCTAAAGACAACTAACTCTGTATGCCTTTTCTATCAGTGATTTTCTCCAAACCATCTAACTTCACTCTACTCAAAATGGATTACTTTAAAGAAACGAATACACCCGAGAAAAAAAATATGCCTGAAATACTTACTGGGTGAACATCATCACTGAGTTTGTAGATTTCAATGTTAACACAATAGACAGATAAAAATTGTGAATGTATAAACTGGATTTTATACAAAACGGGACATTTTTGTGTTCCACATCATCAATGGACTTTATCACAATATAATAGAAATAAGATGAATGAAGTATTTGTGTTAACAGGCAAAGTACACTGAAACAATTTGAGTCTTTGATGATAATTAATGAACTTTAATTATTATTATTGTCTCATTAGTATGAAATATTGAAATTATGTTTATTAATAATGTGAAAAAAAACTGAACAAATTTCAAAACTTTTATGCATCTCTCCTAATTGTGATAATGTATACATTTTTTAATCTTTATTCATCTAATTTCAGTGTTAGTTAAGATATGAAGGTCCTAAGGTGCTTGTACTGTGACAGAGGTCATTTCTGTACTGGCCTATCATTTAATTAATTATTTTGCTTATTTAAACAATGAACTTGATAAAATATGGAATAACAAAAATGGAATCCATCAGTGTCGGTTTGTTATCTTCAAAGATAACTTAAAACACATTAAAGTTGTCTACAAAACGTGTGAAGAGTCTGTTACAATAACCACTTGTGTTTGTAGTAGATATACTTGAAATATCTTCTGATATACGTTCAAGGAAAAACATAAATTCATTTGAGATGCCGAAACTTCTTTGAAAACAAACAAACAAAAAAATCACTTTAATTGTACTATGATCTATGCGGATATCTTCTTTTGATGTTGAATGAAATAAACTTGTGGAAAAATATGCTGATTCGTTAAATTATTCGTCTGTTTTATGTTTTGTTTTACTGTTATAGTGCCATATTTTATATCTTAAATGGACTTTTTAAATAACTAAATAAACAACGAGTGCGTTGGTGACGCAGTTGAAGAGTGCTCGCCAAACACGCACGTAGTCAGGGGTTCGATCCCTGGACAACGTACTCCTTTACCTCGCTAAGCTAGAAATAATGCTGGTGAAGAGGAAAGGCTGGTAAGGTCCTTACCAGCCTTTCCTCTTCACCAGCATTATTTCTAGCTTAGCGAGGTAAAGGAGTACGTTGTCCAGGGATCGAACCCCTGACTACGTGCGTGTTTGGCGAGCACTCTTCAACTGCGTCACCAACGCACTCGTTGTTTATTTAGTTATTTAAAAAGTCCATTTAAGATATAAAATATGGCACTATAACAGTAAAACAAAACATAAAACAGACGAATAATTTAACGAATCAGCATATTTTTCCACAAGTTTATTTCATTCAACATCAAAAGAAGATATCCGCATAGATCATAGTACAATTAAAGTGATTTTTTTGTTTGTTTGTTTTCAAAGAAGTTTCGGCATCTCAAATGAATTTATGTTTTTCCTTGAACGTATATCAGAAGATATTTCAAGTATATCTACTACAAACACAAGTGGTTATTGTAACAGACTCTTCACACGTTTTGTAGACAACTTTAATGTGTTTTAAGTTATCTTTGAAGATAACAAACCGACACTGATGGATTCCATTTTTGTTATTCCATATTTTATCAAGTTCATTGTTTAAATAAGCAAAATAATTAATTAAATGATAGGCCAGTACAGAAATGACCTCTGTCACAGTACAAGCACCTTAGGACCTTCATATCTTAACTAACACTGAAATTAGATGAATAAAGATTAAAAAATGTATACATTATCACAATTAGGAGAGATGCATAAAAGTTTTGAAATTTGTTCAGTTTTTTTTCACATTATTAATAAACATAATTTCAATATTTCATACTAATGAGACAATAATAATAATTAAAGTTCATTAATTATCATCAAAGACTCAAATTGTTTCAGTGTACTTTGCCTGTTAACACAAATACTTCATTCATCTTATTTCTATTATATTGTGATAAAGTCCATTGATGATGTGGAACACAAAAATGTCCCGTTTTGTATAAAATCCAGTTTATACATTCACAATTTTTATCTGTCTATTGTGTTAACATTGAAATCTACAAACTCAGTGATGATGTTCACCCAGTAAGTATTTCAGCCATATTTTCTTTCAAGGGTGTATTCGTTTCTTCGAATTAATCTAATTTGAGTAGATTGAAGTTACATGGTTTGGAGTAAATCACTGATAGGAAAGGCAAACAGAGTTGACTTTAGGATTCTTCATTCTCTAGACTTCAATTGTAAATTGTTTTTTGTTTTTAGTGTTATTGAAACCAATTTCACAAAGCCGAATGCTTTCAGTGATTTTAGATATCCGTTGTTATGAGTTGTGTAAACACAGACATTTTCTTATTGTCCTGTTCTTAATGGGATAACTTCACTGACCTGCTTGAAGATGACGAGTCATGCATGATATGGCTGAGAAAATTAGAACGTAGGTACAAAACTACTGAAGGGGATGGGGCGCCCGCCACATTTGAATGCCAATAACTTCTTTTGGTTTTTTATTCCTTTACGTTCCCAGTGGGATATGGTGGGCTTCAAGATACAGGCTTGAAGTTTCGGTAGCAGATGTATTTATCTTTACTGTGTGAGGTCGGCATCCTCATGCCAAACCTTCCCTCTTTACCAGAGTTATTACTGGCTTAGTAAGGTTTAGGAGTGCCTTGTTGGCAGTTGTTTGAATACCGAACCGTCTGTATGGTTGGTGAGCACTCCCCGGCTGTGCCACTGACTCACCCTAATACTGCTATGCTCCTTCAATAACTTCTGCTTTACGGAGGCTAGCCTATGGCTGCACGGATGACATGAGTATACAAAAATTCATTACCACAAAATGTACACTTTCCACACACACACACATTAGTCTACTCTATATTAATGATAAAGCGGTTTATTTTGATTGGCTACATATGGTTGTAGATTGCCTAATAAAATCATCATGTCCATATAACCACAATCTGTTTGCGCGACCAGTATATCGAACCCTATAGTACATACTCCAACTGTGTAAGAAAGTTGATACAATAGCTTCAAAATAGCTAAACATGACATCTGATATGATTAAAGCACTCCTTTGAGCAAATAAATATAAAATCACTTAAAATCAACTACCTGAGGAAATTCAAATTACAAGTGGCTGCCTCCTTTTCCTTATGCAAGTAGATTCTAACGAAATAGTAGCAGTTTTGTTTCGCGATAACTTATATATACTTACTCACCCTAAATTGGCTACATCAACAGTTATTGTCTTCAAAGGCCATTTCTAACTTTAGCTGCCTTTTTTAGTATGGTTTTGCACAATTACTTATTTTATTGCTTTACTTTCTGAGTGGAGTATACAGCTTCATGCTAGAGATTTGAAGTTTTGGTAGCAGTGTTTTTATATTTTTACTGTATGGAACCGCCAGCATGACGCCTAATCTTCCTAGAAGTCCAATTTTGCATTTACTTCGGCAAGTTTGACAGAGTAACGCAGAAACCTATTGAGTTGCTTCACTGTCGTAGGGTCTGTGCATTTTTTTAAATCATGGAAATACCTATCGTGACATTCTTGTCCTCTTCAATCTAATGTTGCGATGGGTATTTTCCATGATTTGAAAAAATGTCTAACCCTCCTCGTTTTCCAGTTCTACTACAGGCTTAGTGAGGTATAGAAGTGTGTCGACTGGAGGTCTAGTCAAGTAGCATGCATTTGGTGCTGTGAGGATTCTACTGCTGAATCACCGACGCTGACTTTTGCGTAAATCAATTTGTAAACACTGCTAATTGTTTCATACACCCGGTTCGCTTTATTAGTTTGAACAAGGAAAGGACGAACATATTTGCAGGATAATGGAAGCTCGTTCTATTTCATGGATTCTTTTCAACTGCGTACATCCTAAATAAACCATTTATATGTGGAAACGTAGTGTCTGAAAATACATCTTCAGCTATGGCTTCAGGTTAATCGTAGAAATTATAGATGGCTTAATAACGAAGATGATGTAAGTAGACAACTATTCAGTTTTAAAAGAGTAATTATTTATATAGTAATTAGACAAAGGGGTGGAATGCAGATTTCTCTTTCTGTTTTTAAACTAAATTCAGAATAATAATGATAATGCGTATTTAAAGAACAATTCCTTTCACATTTCGTTCCTATCATTTCTAGGTATATCCACGCTGTTTTATTCACAATTATTTTTGCTACACTCCTGCAGTCAGGATATAGTCAAGAAGGAGATGATTGGAATTATCTTGTTTTATCACTAACTTGGCCACCAACATTCTGTAGCAAAGTTGAAGTAAGCCCTTTCCATTCAAGATATAATGTTATATAAACACATTTTCACCATTCGTATTTATATAACTGGCATAGAATAGAAAATATTTGTTAATCATCTGATTTAGAATTAAGTTCAAAATTTGCATATCACATACTCTTAGGTGAAAATTGATCTGAGTTCCCTCTGTAAGCCGAGATGATTCAGAATACAGTAGATTGTCTGCTTCATACGATATATATAGCAGTCAAGAAAACAAGTATAAATGCTTAAGACAATATGCTACTCACTGGTTGACATAAGTAGTCAAGAACCACTGAAGTTATTAATCAGTTGGGCTTGGTAACCTGATAGAAGTGATCTAAATATTTGAACTGCCCAACTATTCTAATCAGTTTTATAAACTTATGTGTACTACGTATGTTGTAATTATAGTAAAAGCAATAGCTGGTTCTACTATTTGAATACTAATCATAATGAATGAACAGGAATTTATTTAAAATAGTTTAATGAAACCAGTTGCTCAGAAGAAGAGGAAAGTTATCTTCATCAGTGGTAGATTCTGTTACAAACCAACATCAACAACTTACTTTTCTTAATCATATCACTTGTAACTAAACAATGCCAAAACTGGGTTTTCACATAGTTCTAATGGTTCCTTTCCAGTTTCTTGTAAGGATAGTAGAGTTTTTTATATGCACGATGCAAGAAGTTTTGAACCACCTCTGTATCATGTTTCTCAGTGGATTCGAGTTACACACACACAATTTCACTTGTCAACTAACCAAGGTAACTTAGGAAAAACTTATGTCGTTTGGCCAACGCTTCCTGTAGAGCCCATTAGATAAAATTATCTAGTTTAAACAGTATCATGTGATGACTGCGGAATCAAATACACAGGACATTGTAGGAGGCAGGGGGCAGTTAAATTAACACAGAGTATAAATATCGAGTAAAATGTAAACTAACATACCCTGAAAGGACAAGAAATCTAGACAGAAAGTCCCACTATAACACTACATGCTGTTACACGTAAAAGCATACAATAGGAAGAGACAAAGTAACTGTCTTAAAATGTAATGTTACGAGATGGAGGGTAAGAATGAAAACTTAAGCTTCATTCACCGAATCATCTGAGGACATGTGCAGCAGGTTTGATTCAGTGCCTGACATCATGATTTGCTTCCATAATTCATGTGGATAAATATCTTACCTCCAGTACAAATTTGACTCTAAACAGTGCTTCTTGACTAGATAATGCAAGTGTGGAATTCAGGTACTGCCACAGAATATAACTGTGCATCATCGATGTGATTATGAATAATGAACAATAAATTTTTCCCTAAATTATTCATCCCTTTATCAGTACTATATCACTGTGTGTTATATCATATGAGTGTGCTTAGTATGGAGCATGTTTATTAGTATTTCAGTGTTTTCTGCTTGTAGAACAAATTATTCAGTTAGCCAACAAATTATTATCTACAGTGAAAATGTTTCATTATTATGTTGTATCAATCAACACGCAAAAATCTCTTAATAAATATCCCTTTTACCAGGTCTTCCAACGTCACCTGAAGAATTCTGTTTAGTGGTATATTGTTGTATGCATCAGAAAAGAAGTTTCTTACTCGAACAATTATTCTTTTCTCGGTTTGTATCGCGACTTGTATCTGCAATTAGGCAGAAATTATTGAACTGCGAAAAACTTGGAACTCAACGAAAATTATTCTCCAACAGAACAAAAGTAAATAATTGTTATTGGCGACCCGGATGAGACCAGTTTTCTGCAAATTGAATCCAAGAGATAATTATTTTTCACTGATCAAGTTCATAGAATGGATATAACTCAAATTTATGTGACTGTGTTCCATTAAAATGCATTATATATATATATCACTTCTTTTTGTTAAGAGTGAAACCCAGGGCTGTAAGCTTCAGCTTGAAAGCCGAAATAGCGGTGATGTTGCTAACGGTGCACTCAACCTTCCCAGTTGTTTTGCTGACTACACGTTCCCTGAGGTTCGGGAGTTTATCAATTGGGAATTGAATCCGGATTGAGTTTGAGGTTGGATAGAATTCTATTATCGAACCGTTGACTCATATTCAAATTATTAGTTCAGTTTATTCAGTGGTATAATTGTGAAGGCAGTAGAAATAATCGATTTTAAATATTTCTTTATTTTGTTTTAGTGTAAACTGCCACCAAGAATGAATGATTTCAACATTCATGGATTATGGTAAGATAATTTAACAGACTTAACAGACTTTAAGTGTTTTATTCAATTCTGATTTCTTAATAAACAATGATGATACGATTATTAAAATCGAAGAAGTAATTTAGATCACTTTGGCTTTCGAACTAAACAACTTCTGATTGCCTACTCATTGCATCACTGAATGAGATAAGATAAATACCAATAGGAAACAGATCTTACCTTGAGATGGTTTCATTTAGGAATGACATCAGTCAGAGCGGAGAAGAAATTTAAAGATCGTTTATATTAGTGTTGGAATGTTGCGTAGTTGGAGACAATCTGCATTTGTCATCAGGGCATATTTGCTAGCCCGAAAAGAACTGATGTCTCCTCGAAGATTCGAATCGATGATAGCCAGTAGGAACCGACATGAAGGACTAGGCATATAAAATCGGTTACATCATACAGGTCAATCAATTAATTCCTGTTTCATTTCAATTCGGAACGCATTCATAGGGGATACTGAAAATGCTTCACATGATTAATCCTATCAACATTCAGAAAGAGATTCTCAATCAAGTAATGTATATACTGAAGCTGGCCTTTATTTGCATCAGGTACTTTCAAGAATATAAAATTTGGTGCCAGGAAGATATGGTGTTACAATTATTGTTTCCATGGGTTACGAGTGGGACACAGCTCTTCAAAAACTCCTTTCCACTTCTTTCTGTTCTCTGCTATCCTCTTGAACTAGGCCCATGTTTATCCAAAGTCTCTCCTCCATGTCACACTCAGACGCCCCGCTCGTCGTTTCCTATTCAGGTTTCAATCGAACAGTGGACCGGCACGCGATATCATTCAGCAGTCTCCTCATTGTGTGCGCAATCCATTTCCATTTTCTTCTACATATCTGTTGGACAAGGAGTTCTCAATTAGTTTTTCTTGAGAATTTCTTTTTGATAATTCTTTCTCACTGGCCACTTGATCTTCAATATGGAACCAGAGAAGGCGGCAGCTGTTGATACAAGTCTGCAGTAGCCTGTTGGGAATGGTTTCCGTGACACGCTGGCCAGATTTCCGACTTGTGTAAAAGAAGTTGACTGACTTCGGATTTGTGTTGAAAGCCCGAAACTGCTTCTTTATGCTGCTGAGTGCCAAACTGCTTTCAGGTTGATGAAGATGTATGTTGTTTTTGTAATTCTGACTGGCCCTGATATCTTCATCCGTTCCGACTGCCTATTATTGACACTGTGCTTCCCAACTATGTTAAGGAAGTAACCTCTGTCAAATCTTTCCCATTTATGGTGACTGGTGCTAGTTGTAGTTGTTGGCTGGTTATTTTAAACACCTACGTCTTCTCTATGTTCACCTGGCTGCATGTCTTCACTGCCTGCTTCGTCAGCCAGTTTGTTGGTTTTCACCTGGAAGTCTTCCACTCTGTTGGACATTGAACATGAATCATTCACGTGCAAAATCCAGATCTTCTAGAGTCTTCTTATCGATCTAGTTCTTTTCTGTCTTCTCGCTCCCCGCACACACAGTGCCGCATAATCCAGTCCACCACAATTATAAGTATCATCGGTGACAATATGAAGCCTTGTCTTACCCCCCCCGTATTCACTTCAAAGGCTTCATTAAGTCTCCCGCTGTGGTTCACCTGGCACGTGGCATTGTCACATTGTTGTTGAATGAGGCCGATAAGGATTTGTGGCACTCCAAAGTGTTGAAGCAGTTTCCAAAAAGATATCATGTAGTGATAATAATAACTGAATCATTGTGCAGCAAGTCTTATAAGGAACCAAACGCGCAACTTAGATTCCTCTACTGACTATGCCATTCAAATAACATCATATTGTGTATGCTGTTGAATACGCTAAGATTACTTGGATTATTCAAATAGTGAACGACGAGTTGGACTTCCTTGAAATCACTTAGGGGAGATCATGTGAGGAGGAGATGAGGATTTATAGGTGATAGTGGACAGTAAGGCGCCAGGAAACAGAGTGAAATGCGGATGTATTGTTGGAGACATATGTTCCACTTGAAACCCAGGAAAATAATAATAATAACTGTACTCAGTAATGATTATATTTTAAATCGTCACAACACTAGGCTATGAACCCTTTCTAAATGAAAAAAATACATGTAAAATAGACCCATGTTATTCTGCGTCAATGGTTGTCTTTTCTCTTTTCATAATCTGATTTTACTTCTGCTACGTTTGTTTTTTGATAGGCCTTCTGTTTGGCCCGGTAGACAACCAACAAATTGTTCAGCTCATCCAGCCTTTGATATCGATAAATTGTCGGTGAGTTTAGTCTAATCTAAACTATTTTCTTATACCTGTCGATATGCATAGCACAACACCTGGTTCTAATGGCTTGCAATAGACAGCTTTCCCTCTGTCAAACGATATGTACTGCGTCCAAGTCTCAATGACAACACCACCAGCCACTGATGTTGCAGGCCTATTCAAATGACGACTCTCAAAGTGCACGATATTCTCACCTTGTGTTTAACTACTGGTAACCATCTATCAAGATAAAAATAGTGACGCGGTAATCTCAAAAATTAGAGATCCATTTTCGCCAATTCAGTGGCACACTATATTCTTCAACACAATAAAACAGATTTTGAGAAAATTATATTCTGCCATAATAAATTTTTCTAAGATGTATCACACAGTGAAACGGTATTACTGATTACTGGATGACAATGATTCGAACAAAATTCATTATTGTTCATAATCATATCATCAATTATAATCACACAACTTCGAAACTTGAGCTTCATAGTTCCCTTTGTTCTCTCCTATTTGTCGTCGTTGGAGTAGTAGAATTTTCCAGATGTCCTGTTCGACAGGTGCTGAACCATTCCTGTTACACGTATTTCCGTTCAGTTGATTCGATAAACAAAGCTTCTGTTATCAATCTCTCCCTCCACCCTGTTACATTTAATACCCCACAATGATTGTTAGGCAAAATACATAGGTCAAATTAGTAGAACAGGGGCAGTCAGGCTAGCCTAGAATAAAAACCTAGCAGCAAAATCTAGATTAGTTGACCCGAATAAGAAATCTAGAGAATGGTTAAGCTATAGCACTCACTATATGCAATTACACACAACCATACAATAGAATGGATGGGATAAGATGACAGTTTCAAAATCTAATATAACAATGTCGAGGGAGAGATTGATAACAGAAGCTTTCTTTTTCGAATCAACTGCTTTCACGTGTAATAGAAATGATTCAGTCCCTGTTGACCCGGACATCTGGAAAATTCTAATACCCCTAAGATGACGAATAGGAAAGAATAAAGAAAATTGTAAAACGAGTGTTTCGAAGTTGTGTGATTATAATTGATGATATCATTATGAACAATAATGAATTTTGTTCGAAACATTGTCATCCAGTAAACAGTAATACTGTTTCACTGTGTGATACATCTAATAAACAATTAATATTGTAATTCTTGATTTAATTATTCCAAATAATGTAGCATTCATAAAATGGAATACGTGTCATTATCAAACTGAACGACATATTCAATATGAGCGTTGAAATCAGCATTTCCAATGTTTGTGTTTTAATTATTGCGCGTTCTACTTATAAGCTTGCTTCTCTACACGAAAATGATGTGAGAATAAAAAAAGAAGCACATGCAAATACACTCCCAATCTTTTATTTCTTTTCCTTCTGTTACACTACCATTGAGAAAATTAAACCCAGTAAAACTATTTGGGTACACAGAATTCGCATACGAAAATTGTCTTGTAGAATTTGAAATAAAAGTTTGTAAAGTGAAGAAAATAGAATTTAGTATTGTGTGTATTGGAGTTCTACTGAGATGCAGTAATAGATATATTAATTTTTATGGAGATTCAAATAAAAATGTGGAAAACGAATCCACTATCGAAAATGGAATCATGAACAAGCATCCTGTTTTCACTACAACTTGCAAAACTGAATGTGCCTTCCACCTTTGTAATAATAATAATAATTGCTTTATTCGGAACAATGTTCATTATAATGTACAGAATTTCCAGCGGAGTTTATCGCGTGATATTTTCTCTTGGTGCAGGATCTTCAAATAAAAGGTCAATTGGCTGACTGTAGATTGTGTGACACAGTTCCATCTCACCTGAAGTGCAAACCAATCCAATATGATATCTCTTCTCTATCTCCTTCGAGAAATACACGACGATATTTTGTTGAATGGCAATTTTAAAAAGTTCAGGAGTACATTCTGTGAATCAAGGACATCATTTAGGAACAGTTATCTTATGTACACTGGGATAAGCTGCCATCCATCAAGGATAAGGCTTTTTCGCCTCATTTTTAGCAGAAACTTGCCAGTCAGAAGGTTGTGAATGCTTCAAATACTCACCAGAGTAAACATTACTAATGGAGGTCATATATATTACCAGATTTAAACAAACGGAATAAGAGAAATTATATGCAGTATATATTGATGGAGGTTTTCCCTTAGACCAGGCTTTAGGCAAGCCGCCACACATTGTTTGTTGGAGTGCTGTATCCAGTGATACTGTTTAAAAAGTGAATGGTGAATATAACCTAAGTAGCTTAAAATAATGGTGAGTTTTGGCCAAGTGAATCAATTTAAAACCATCCTAAAATCTGGTCAGCTACCTAACTGAAATGGTGTTGCCATGGTCTTGAAACTTATCACTTTGCTAATTATACAGTTCAAGTTGGAATTTCTTAAAATTTAAGCGACTGTAATTACCTTTGATTCCTGATTTTCGCCACTCACAGTATACGCTTTAAACAACATTTTGTACAAACATTGTACACCTGTATTTATGTCATATATTATCTTATATTACCGATGATACTTGGATAGTTTAGCCTGCAGAACTATGACAAATGGCTATATTTTCAAGGGTTCTCAAGGGTTTGTAAGGATTATTTTTGTTTTTATGAGTTTGACCATGGATTGATATCAGCTAGAGAAGCACTGAAAACCAAGGAGTACTGGAGAGCTGTTTCATCCTAGTGTTTTGGGAATCATCGGCAGTGCCCACCCACCCAGGATGGTATACGAGCTTGCCTTGTAACCGGAAGATCCTGAGTTCGAACCCTAGTGGTGGGTGCGTACTGCCGATGATTCCCAAAACTAGGATGAAACAGCTGTCCAGTACTCCAGTGCTGGTTTTCAATGCTTCTCTAGCTGATATCAATCCGTGGTCAAACTCGTAAAAACCAAAGTGGCTAGATGTATGGATGTTCTCACAGGTGCTCAGTGTCAACAAGTCCTGGAAAATGTTGAAAAATTAATCACATTAAACTTCAATTTTGATGTTTCTTTGACAATGGTAAAGACAAATTTAAAATTTATTCATTCCTGATCAACTTAATTAAATTTTATTTCAGGATCTCAGGGGTCAATTAGACTCTGAATGGGTGAATTTGATGGACTATCAAAATCCAATACCATTTTGGTAAGAGTTTTCAAACATTTGGTGTTGTTTTTTGCTTTTTTCTTCAAATATTTTGCTTTTTAAATACTCCAAGAAAGGAATGGTTCTATGGAATGTGGTGATTCTCTTGAGCAGTTTCTTCAAATCTTAGCTGCATCTATCATGATAGTGTGTGTAACTTTTGAAAAGACTGCTCTTCCTTCTATCAGTATATAGGACAGAAAACAGTTGGATTAGCTCATTGAAGAGGACCAATTGCTCTGGCACATCCGTTGGCAATACAAATAAACGTATTAGTCAGATATCATGCCAGACTTCTAGAGATTCCAGTATTGGTATGTAGGAATTTGATTGATTGGCTACAGGATTTCATCATGAGCTGACATCGCTTAGAGAACCATTGGAAAACCATCTTGGAGTACTAGACAGCTGTTTCGTCCTAGTGCTTGGGACTCAATATGACCAAATATTTTCATAGTCCCCTTTGTGATCAGCTGACACTTTGCTATTTTTATATCCTTAAACTACTACCTTTATTTACGGTACCGCAATGTTTGTATTCCCTCCCGCCTCCATTATGAAGACTGAACTCTACTGGTTGTTAACTGTCTCAACTTACCAATGAAATTAGAGTATTTGAAGGTCATTTATAACCCATATATGAGGAATCGCTGTACAACTTTTTCTCTGTTGATCCGAGACAGTAAAAGCTATCTCCTTGATGGTCTGTCCCCTCTCTCTCTTCCTTGCTTCGCATGTTGGTGGCATCGTGTCGTGCTGTTTGTCGTAAGAACAGTAGGCTTGCACAAGAGACCGATAAACTACTACCAGGTTTTGCTGACAGTCATATCAATACAGAATAAATAATATGAGACAAATGCAAGGTGAAGATAAACTTTCAGCACCAGTAACTACCAATCAGCGAATGACCCTAAATGCACCAATCACATGGAAAAGGCTGTATTTATGAAAATAATGCATGAAAACTGTATAAAGTGTTACAGAAGATACCTTTCTCTCACATGGGATAAAAACAATTCCCAGTTGTCCAGAGAAGTATCAGTAGAGAATTTAAACCACATTCCACACATGTATTCATCTCAAGTGTGGTAAAACCATCCTTTTGAGATCCGTGAATGGCTGTAGTCCTGATCTTCAATATTCCCTAAAATTCTTCAAAAAGTCGGTCCCAGTCGCTGCTTGGCAAGATCCACATAATCACTAGTGTGGTTTACTCTATGGTGAATATATATCACATGGGTGACAACCAATTATATCCCTTCCACTCGTCTGTGTGTATTATAGTTCCTCGTTTCACCAGTCGAATGATAATCAGTAATAAAGTACTTGACATTTTATCTGCTATTCCGTCAACGAATCTTTTCCGTAGACAGGAATCGCACACACCAATCGTCCAAACATCATTCTCTCGTTCTCAACCATAGTTGTATTTCCTCTTTAACAAGACAGTTTCATCTACATATACTATGACACCTTCTATTCCCGTTAAGGAAGTAAGTCTCTCCATTTTCTACGTTGCGATATACCTGGAGTGCTGGTGCCGCTGAACTGTTGAAAAGAGACTATTCTCCGTCTGAGCAGCTGTACCTATCATAGCGTGTTTCAAAACTCAGTAATTACAAATACACGAAATCTGGGTTAAGGATAGACGGGACCTGGTGAAAAATATTCCTACGAAATTGTAAAATCTTCAGCTTAACTTCCGTAACACTAACTCGTCTCAGACAAATTGCTCAACGACGCATATGGCCATCAACCGATCTAACGAAACCTTTTATAATAATGATATCATCACAGGAAAACGTTCTTTCCTTTCCGATCAGTTAAGTACACATAAGCCCATTAAAGTCGGTATTTCACTCTAATTAAGCGGAATGAAAGATTGAACTCACGTGACAAAACTCATTGGCCCATTCAAAGTAATCAGTGCAGTCGTACTCCATTGGTAGTTAATGGTGCTTAAAGTTTAACTTGACCCTATTTTATCCCTCTTGGAATTTTGTTGTGTTTTGCCAGCTTATGAACAGTTTAGAAGTGACCAATAGCAGTGGAAATAACGCATCAGTCGAATTAAATTCTCGTAGACACACCTAAACGGTGAAAAATTCGTGTTTCAATCATCTAATTCTCAATGACATATTTTTTTATTTTATTTTGTTATTTTCTTGTTATCATTTCAAAGGGAACATGAATGGTATAAACACGGTCAGTGTGCAACAGAAGACACCTTAATATCTGATGAACTTGGCTATTTTAATACGTCCTTAATTTTAAAAGATAAAATTGATTTACTGAAGTAAGTTGTACTTCTCTGACGAATAATTCATATTCTTCTCTATATTAAAGAAAGAACTGTTTTACCAAATGTTAATGGTGAATTTATCAGCATTTGACGATTTCCCATAAAATGATAATTTACAAAATATGCTACTTAAACAAGTGAATAGTAGCATGCAAATAATTCAAATTGACGTCGGTGATTCAGTGGTAGGATGCTGGCCAACGAAGCGATCTGTCGGAGTTCATTCCCCCTTACTGATGCACTGAGAAACGTCGCTTAGCCAGTGATAAGCCCGGTGGAGAGGCTAGCATCCAGCAAATCCCGCAGAAAACACCACTGCTACTGAAACTTCGGAGCTCTACCTTGAAGCCCTATGTTCCACTGGGGACTCAAAGGAATAAGATAATAAAAATAATATTTCAAATTCATGAACAGGCTTTAATTATATAAGAAGAGTTTGAACACTGTACAGAGTCAATTTGTTGAGATGATCTGAGAAAAGATGGTGAGGTAGAGAGACCAAACTGTTAGTTTGGTCAGCACGCAACCAGGATCACCATTATCTCAAAAGGTCTCATCATCAGTTAAAAGACAATTTCTCTCATTCTGATTCAGTATGTGAATATGGGATTGACAAAATCAACAAGCTGGTAGATAGATAGATAGATAGATAATTTTAGTGTTGAAGTCTAAAATATGAATACACTGGCCTGTTAGCACTGGTGCCTTATTATGTAATCTCTTCCTGTAGTCAATAAGCAATTAAAGAAAAAATATCGAAGTTATTAAAATTCGAATAACTCGTTTACCTTGCAATCATGTCATGTTACTTTTGTCAAGTTTGTTGAGCATTTCGGAGTAATTCTTAAGAATGCCACTGTCATTTTTGTGTAAATTATACTACACAGGAAGTAACCAAGCTATCTATCTTATTATTATTGTTTTAGCATGCTGAATTCATACGGAATTCAACCAGCTAATGATCAGTTATTAGGAGTAAGTGAAACTGTCATTTAATTAGCAATTAGTTTTAGAATTATTATTTATTTATTTTAGAATCGAAAAGAATTTGAAATTATGGTAAATTATGGTATCACATATCATAGGCAGTTTTTTCCAAAAGATCTAAACAGTTCCAAAATAAGCCTAGTAACTTGTGAAATATCAAGGACTGATTTTAAACCACAAAATGACACTTTCTTTCAAAAGTGAATGTGATACAATGGAATTATTAGCAATATTAACTGATCGATAGTTTACAAAAGAATGGTTACTGAACAAAGAATATTCTGTTCGATAACCTTCTCTTCATTAGGTTATACAGCTATATGTACATAATAGTGAATGTGGGAATTAGTGTTATTAACAACATTAATGTTTTGTAGATAACATCGAATCAATAATAATACTATCAATGGATTACAGTTCAATCGCATCAACATAACAGTAAGCTGAATGTCAGAATGATTAGGAAGATAATATTACAAATTCATGAATTTATAGTCTCCACTGAAGGCCAGGGCAGTAGTGGGGCTTGGACTTCCTTCTTTTGCACACAAAGCACTGGTTGTTTGAGGCGAATTGCAGTAGCCTCTGCTGTTTGGAGAATGCGGTGCTTCGATGTTTTTGGCAATTTATTGGGCACCCAGTAAATGATAGAGAAGGATTCTTCCACGCTGGCTGGCTTTGTGGCCGGTTTGCACCAGATGGTCCAATATCGAGCTGTTAATGGTTTCCACTACGCCTTTACTTAGTCATAGTGGGAGATGCTCTCGAGCACGAAAAATCAAGTTCCTAGAGCAGCGGTCGGTATAACTCGCTCCACAAGTGCAGTTGAATTGGTAGATACAATTTAAGTAGGTGGCTAGTCTAGGTACTTCATCTTTCAGTCGAGGTAGCACCATCGGTCGTGTAGAGAATAAGACGTGTAGTTCGCCAGCATTAAAAGTTCTTTGGACTGGTTTTCCTAATTTCATCGTATTTACTTCACTTGGTATATCGCCCTTGAATTGCAGTCGTATATAAAGAGGCTTCTTGTTTACGGATAGTGAATAGTCCTTTTCCGCTTTCTTTGTCATGTGTTTCTTGATAAATTTGTCGGGATAGCTATTTTCAATCAAAGTGTCACATACAATGCTCAATTCATCTTCAATTACTTCTTCTGAGCATATAGCTCTAACTCTGTGGCTGAGGGTCTTCACTAAATTTCTTTTGTACTGGAGAGGAACGAAGCTGTGAAAATGTGTATATTGTCCTGTCCAACTACTTTTTCTATGCAAATTTCGTTTTATGCTACCATCTGGTTTTCTTGTAAGGAAGACATCCAGGAAGGCAATTCTGTTTTGGGATTCCTCTTCACACGTGAATTTCATAACCGAATGTACTTCATTGAATTCAGTTATTATTGTACTCCTATCAGAATCATTATCACAAAAAATGAAGGTCTCATCCATATACCGGCAATAAAATGAGAACTTTCTGATAAGGTTGTTCAAAGGTCCATTTTTTTTTACTTAGAAAGAAATCAGCCGAAATGGGACCCAATGGGGAGCCCATCGTCACCCCGTCCACTTGACAGAAATCCATCGATCAGGTATACAGTGTGATTATGTGACTATGGGACACATCCTTGTTTTATAATGTGATGCAGTATATCTAGATAGATATAAGACGTTGAGAAGAATAAATGTGCAATTGGTATTACCATTACACAAAGCTGAAGGGCAATGTATACTATTATTTATTACTGCTTGCTTGGCTTCCACCTGGAACAGAAGGCTCCAACAACATGCCTCCACTCTGTTCTACTTTCTGCTGTCCGCTTTAACTGGGCCCACGATTGTCCGTAGTCTTTTATCTCTCCTTAACATGATCTTCTCCATGTCACCCTCGGAAGCCTCACTCATCGTTTCCCACTCCGGTCCCACTCGAGGGCCTAGCGCGCAACGAGTGACATTTCTGCATTACTCAGGTTACATGGAGGTTAGATACTGGCTATTCTCTTCGTTGTTCTATGCTTCAAGCACTAGGTTTCATGAAAAACAGGCTTTGAAATCGATATAGAACTGATTTCCAGAACATATTCACAGGGAACAAAACCAGATTTATTTTTCATTGCATAGTATTAAAACTGGAGGTTCTTATCAATAGATTGGTTTATGGAAGTAATTTTCCGCTGGTGTACACCTTCCTGAGTGACTGTCGAAAGAACATGGAAGTGTTTGACCTTTCATATTTCTAGTTTTGCTAATATTTCCATGAAGTAATGACTGAATATGACTTTTATCCTCCTCAAATTAATCAATATAGTATTCATACAATGTTAATCATAAAAAAGTCAACTGAAAAAAAAAATTTGAATTTAGAAATTTCTTTGTCATTTAATCCAGTAGTTATTTACTTGTATGAATAATCATCAATAATTACGCCAACAACTTTTCTTCTAGTATTGGTTTTGTAAGGATTTTGTCTGATTTGATGGAGGATTTCACCATGAGCTGACATTGGTTAGAGAACCATTGGAAAACGCGGGAGTACTGGACAGCTGTTTCGTCCTAGTTTGGGACTCTTCATCAGTGCGCACCCACGCGAGGAGGTTCGAACCCATGACCTTCTGGTTAGAAAGCTGGCGAACTCGAAGATCATTGAGCCACTGGGATCCAATCCAATGGCCAGTTGATGAATTCTAACTTCTGTCAATTCACGACACTGCGTGACCATTTCGCAATATCTTCTTCAGTGAGTAACTGCCTCGACTTCAGCCTACTGTACCCTACTGGTCAAGGCTTCCCACTAGAACTCCAGAGTCACTAGTGAGCATCAGATTAATTTTTACCTTTTGGTTTTGTAGGGATTTTGTTTGCTTGGATGGAGGCAGTAGTTCATCCAAGAAGACATTGCAAAACGGTCGCGCTATGTCATGAATTGACAGAAGTTAGAATTCATTGGCTGGCCAATGGATTGGGTCCCAGTGGCTCAATGATCTTCGAGTTCGCTATCCTTGTAACCAGAAGGTCCTGGGTTCAAACCTCCTCGCGTTGGTGCGTACTGCTGAAGAGTCGCAAACTAGGCTGACGCAACAGCTGTCCAGTACTCCCAGGGTTTCCAGTGGTTCTCTAGCTGGTGTCAGCTCATGATGAAATCGTTCATACAATTTTTTTCTACTGAAGATGACGCTTAATTAAATTACCGAACAATTTGTGCGCGAAAACTAGTTCGGAATACAACAAAACTAATAGGAAACAAGTTTTTCCAACTGGGCAACAGAATCAAATTCATTTTTGAGCTAACAATGAAGAAAATGCGACATTTATTTATTTGTTTTATTGCTTTACCATCAGAAAAAGGGTTGAACCTTGAATTAACAACTTCTAGTCACTTAATCCCATACTGATAATGATAGATAGCATAAAAGTGGCAGTTTCACTGTTAATTTCTTCTATCTACAACTTTGTACGAAAAGCCAGTTAAAATCAGGATTAATGTAGAAAATGCTGAAGCGGTAGATGAATGAATTCATTTTATTTCACTGGATTTACTCATTTTGTTTAAATGTATTTAACACTAATTAGATCAAAGCTATAATAATGAACATCCTTTTCAACATGGTTTACTTCGGTGTTGGTTGTTTAGCGACAATCAACAGGAATGATCTGGACTTAGATCTTGTGTTTGCTGGTGATGCTGATCTGTAATTCCATATTAGTTTGTTTATCAGATGCATCACACAGTGAAACAGTATTACTGTTTACTGGATAACAATGTTTCGAAAAAATTTATTGTTCATAATCATATCATCAATTATAATCACACGACTTCAAAACTGTAAGTAGAATTTTCCAGTTAATAATACTGTTTCACTGATCTGTAACTTTGAAGGAACTGACTTCCCCTCTGAGATTTGAACCAGTGTCTCCCAGTTATGCAGTCACAGACATCAGCTATGATGAGATATTCGATCTGACGATTTAACTTCCTGTGGTTCCTATGAAATTACCAACCAATTCACGTATACCACTATTCAACCACTGAAACATGATATAACAGCTCATCAACTCTATTATCTGCCAATTTGCGATGTATACCACGACCGCCAGCCAATGTCTTCGTCGATTATTTGTCCTTACATCCAACTAAGGGCAGTGTGGTGAGTGCGTACTCACGAAGAGTCCCAAGCAAGGACGAGAGGGTTATCAACGTCTCTCTGGTTTTCAGTGGTACTCTAACTGGAGTCACTTCATGATCTAGATTGAGATCATTCAGATTCTTGCAAATCAACACTTGAAAACGAATTCCTTTCGAACACAAAGGTTACATTTTAGTGAATTGAAGAAATTCAGTACTCTGTTTCAATAGCTAATGTAGGTGGATCGTCTGTTGCTGTTGTTGTTATTGCGTTCTCTGTGCTGGATGGTTTAATCACGCAGCTTTGATTTCTCTTTCGAAATAACATTTTCAGAGCTAACTAACTGCTTTGAAGTTATCCACCTGAGAAAGCACATCAATATCAGATAAAGATGAAATTTCGATAGAGGAAGAAAGACCAGATCTGCAGTATAAAATGGTATAAATCTATTTCACAGGTTCTCATCAGCTGCTGCAAACTACCTGAAATTACAATGGTTATAAATAATAACATTTCATACTTCAGTGTTTGAAAGGTAATAATGAAAAAATTATAGGATGAACGCATCAGGAATTTTTAGTTGAAGTTACCATCAATTTATATACTATGAAAGAAAAAAGGAGGTGAGAGAAGAGAGAAAACAGCTTGTACGTCAACATGGCAACTCAAGAAGGTATAAGTTCATCAAATTGAAAACTTGCTTAGTGTGCTGAGCTCACAAGTGTGGATGACTAATCGGTGTAATGAAAGTAATAAGGTTACCAAGGGAGTGAGAGATTGACTACACTCTCTTTCTGTGTGCATAAGTTTGGTCTGAGACGTTTGATTGCTGTAATTGCTTCAGCAGTAAATCGTAGTAGATTCGCTATCCTTTGTATGTTTAATATTTTGAAGGATTTGGAAATCTCGACAAAATGACCCGTATTAACAGGGTGGGTGTCTGGTATTTGCACTTTGTAAATATCTGCTTCCTTTTAAGCATAAGTTTCTCGGAATATGCTCTGAAAACCGGATAGAAGCCCTTCTTTCTGTCCTTCCTTCTTTCTCGATCGAAATTTATCAAGGGAACCAAATGTATGAAATTTTT